GAATGATAGATAAAGCAACAGTTGTCTCAGTAGCTGTCCTTCATCTGGGTTTATTCTTTTTTTTTTTTTTGTCACACGCTTCCATTAGGTACATAGTAATAAAATGTGTATGAAGTTAAATAATAATAAAAATTAGAAATAATCCTGTGGCTGTATCCTGATAAAGTAAGTCATGTATGTTTGACTTTATATCACTTAAATGTGGTGACAATGTGTTTTGCCACATTGGATTTGCTTGATGGAGTTTGAGTTATTTTAACACTAAATTTCACTGTAAAAATTGCATTAAAGTTTATTTCTTATGTCTGAATAAAAACAGTATTACAGACACTGTAATGAGTTCTGGGGTTAAGGAGTGTTTTTACAAAGTGAGACAGCTCACTGCAGTCATGGTGGGAGTGATAGCTTGATTTGGGAACGCTTTGGGATGAGGTCAAAACTTTGTGAGTAGAGCAGTACCAGCTGACGTGGGACTGCTTACTGCAGGAAACAAACACTCTGTGAAGGAATCTTAATGAAAAGGCATTCATAATACATATTAATGTATTGAAATTCAATTATGAATTATCGAATTATGAAATTCAAAGCTAATAAAATGTGTAATTAATATGTATGCTAATGATACATGTTATTGTTTTCTATATGTATAGAAAAACTGAATGGGAAATAAAGAAATCTGTCTGCATGCCTCTTAATGAAAATGCATACGGGATTTTTCATACTGGAGTCCTTCCTTAGAGCGTTCTAGAAAAGATCTTTGTACAAATTGACAAAAAAAAAAAAAAAAAAAACTGATACGCTTTTATATTTTTTACCATCTTTTTTTTTTTTTTTTTTTTTTTTTTGCTTGATGGTGACTCATTAAGACATGGAGCATTTTTGTGTGTAACCTTTCTGTTTTTCTACATTGCTATTTAAAACTGTTTCGACAGCAGTAAGGAAGATGTTGAACGTATAACATTTTTTCTTCTTTCCTTGAAATAAAAAAAACAACTTGGGGGGAATGCAGGAGCACCCAGCAACAGAACAAATGAGCCCGTGTGTGTTAAGATGGGGAGCACCTTAACTCCTGTTTGTGGAAGAAAGTCAATTTTTGCAGACCTATCATAGGTCCTTGAGGGGATTAGTGAGTATGAGGCAAACAAAAAACATTTGATAAAGCTCTTCATTTCAGATTTTTATCAAAAATAAGTTGCTCTCAGATGGGGTTGTTTGTGGATGAGTGAATAAATTAAGAGTTGGCCATCAGCTCACTCAACAGAGAGATCAGTAATGGTGTATAACAGGCTTGTGGTATTTCTCAGAAATAAGTGATCCAAAGTGGTGAATAATGAGGGGATTTATGCTAAAAGGGTAGTGAAAACTTAAAGCAGAACAAAGGAAAAGTCATTATTTGCTGGTGCCTGGATGGTTAAAAGTAGTAGGTGAAATTCAGCATGGGATGATAAACTCTGATCTTTGTTGAGTGTTGAACTAGATTTGGCTTATAGTACCTGGTTGCATAAAAGAATCAGTGCAGTGCACAGTGGCAGTCCAAATTACTCAGATAATGCAGTTATTAACTTAGTGAAGAGCAGAAACAGGAGATACTGTGCTGTAGTTTATGCTTTTGGAGTGAACACAACTGAAATACTATTTATGGTTTTCCCTCCAGTTCAAAAAGGGAGGATGAGAAACAAAACATTGGGTGACGGTGGGACTTGAAATACAATTCATACAAGGATAATTGGAAAAGAAAAGGCTGAAGGGGAAATGATGGAAGTGTGTGAAATTGAGGTGGAGGAGCTGGGTAGTCATCATTACTTTTGTGGCTGAGGCATGGTGACAAAATACATAAAATGAAGTATGCTTTCATGTACCCTTTAGGGTGTGGAGTTATTTATGTGATGCTGTAACTGCTAAACACTTAGAGCAATGAGGGGAAAATTACTGAAGAAAATTGTAGTTTGCTATTAAATACAGCAATGCGATTTCTGACGTATACCAAAAAGGCATTGCCATATGCTGGACTTGTTCATGTCCTCTATCCTAGACATCCTTGTCCTCCTCTTTGGAGACAGTATTTGAGTTCAGAGCGGCCTTCCAGTTGACTCTCTTAGAGCTTAGGTTTAGTTGAAAACACCTCCAGGCTGTAAATGTTGGTGAGATGTACTGGCTGTGCTGTGTTTAAAGATATGTATCGAAACTAGGTTTTTCCCATTGGTATGGTTTCAATATCACAAAAACATCTTGTTTATTTTAATAAACAGCATCTGATTACTGTAATTGAAGAGGAGGAGATATGGCTCCCATAGGTCTTGAAGGAAAGATATTCTTTCCTGTCTGTATCAGGTGGGGGTCAGGTGGCACATTGAGCAAGATGGAAACAGGAGAGCCAAGTTCTCTTTGCAGTTATCAGCAATAATGGTTGTGTCTCCTTTCACTTGACCTTGTTTCTCCAGTTCTCGCTGTAACTCTGTCCTATGTTCCTGTCTCTGTCACCTGTGCCTCTTCTGCTGGGCTTTGCCTTCTCCTTGCCTGCTTCTCCCTGTTCCTTCTCCAGCGTAGCACTTGAAATAGCTCTTAGTTCTCTGGATGTTGTAGCAAAGGGGGGTTGCTGTTAAAGAGACTGTGGTAAGAAGCTGCTTGTCTCCAACACCTTTAGGTGTCCCTTGTGTGATTTTGAAGTGTGATTTGACGTGAGCATGAGATCATCAAGTAGTTTGAATTTGTCTTGCAAAGTTTATTTTTTTTTAAGTGCTTTACTTGAGAGAGTTCACTCAAAGATCTGAAAGGGAATATTTCCGTGGTTCACTCTGATTTAAACAATTCTGAAAGTTTGCTGTGGCTTGTTAAATGTGAATTCCCCACTCTCATCTTGACTTCAGAACTTTATTGAAAGGCACACATGCACCTGACAGACCAATGAAGCTGTGACACTTTGAATACTTAGCAATTTTTTTTTCTGAGTAAAGTTATATTTTAATTTAGAATGAAAAAAGTCGTGATGCAAATTAAGACTGATGTTAAAAATGTGTAAATATTTCCATTAGTCTTAGCTTCTTGTAGTCACTTTTTAAAGCTCTCGTGCCCCAGAAGGAAAAAAATGAAGTGTGTCAATACTTGGTTGGTTTCTCTCCTGAAGCTACCAAAAAGGTGAAATTCTCTGGTGGTTTTTCTGGGTGTTTACTGTGCATCTTTGAAAAAGGCATCTTTTAGTAGGATACAAAGTATTTCTGACCAAGTTGCATTTGATCTAGCGCTATTTCCCAATCTGGTTGGAGTCCAAGCTGTAATTGGCCTCCTACTCTCTTGTTTATATTTCTGATCCATTAGTATGTCTTTGTGGTTGTTGTTTGCTTTCCTTTCTTCTCATCAGTATAAGTTCAAAACAACGGGCCTTTAATACACTCAAGATGCAAAAGCTGACTTTAAGGGCTGTGAAAATATTATGATAATTGATTTGACTATTTGTTTGTTCTCATTGTAATGCTTCTTAGAGTTCCAGCTAAACCATTCTTATGGAGAGCTAACTTAACCTAGCAATGTTTCAATGAAATTAACAAAATGAATAGCGTCCAGCCTTTAATATAGCTCTGATTAGCCTTGTATTTTTAGTTCCTTACCCATGGTTTTGAATACCATCATGATTTTACTGCTTGTTTTCATTACATCTGAGATATTTCTATCTCAGTAAATTTAAAATGAGGATTGTAAGCCTATAAATAGTTTAGATAGGTAGTGTTTGGTTTGCGTAGCTTATAAACTCTTATGGACTGATGGGAATAAACAGGTTGGAATTTGATGTGAGGAATCAAAGGCAATTTTTTAATATACATCAAACACATTCTTCTAAAGAATATTCTTGTAAAGTAAGCTTTCAGAAAGCTTGCTCTGTAGTATTTTTTCAAGGAGAGTTACCTGAGGGATGAAGCAGTTAGGACTGATGGATCAACTTTCAATCGTGTATCGCATAATTGCATAGAAGTAAACAACAGCCAAACCCAGGTCTGATCAGATCCAAACTGATCAGTTCAAAGATGTCTGATCTAGGAGTTTACTCCAGCAGGTCAGTAGTAGGTGGTGTGGGCATGTAGGTGGCAGTAGGACATGTAAGTAGCAGTACTTTCCTGGCACGCTTTGCTTGCACCCAGTGGTTTGTATTCCACGGCTTTCCTATCCATCGGCTTTCTTGTTACCTGGCTGATGAGTGCTACATGTGTAATTCACAAGGTCTTCCTAGAATACTTGATTGTTTTTCATTAGATGCTCTATCTGTTGTTTTCAGCCAACACATTTTTGTTTAGTTTTTCTCTGAGGAGGTGTAAACCACTAAAGCGTAATACATGCCTGTTGTAAAATGAAGACCATAAACTTTAAGACAAAGTTTATGGCACTTAACAAGACCTTAAAGATGCGGAATTTTTTTTTTTTTTTTTTAATTTTTTTTTTTTTTTTTGGTTCGTGGCAATGTATTTGGTGAAAAATCAGTGAAATTGCATTTGTTCACAAAATTAAATGCATACCTTGTAAATATATTATCTTCATTGCTGTGATTAAAAAAGATGGAGAGGTTTGGGTGGTGGGGGGGCCTGACTCTTGGAATTAACCTTTTTTCCTGTTGCCATTCAGTGATTAGGTGCTTGCTGCATGGTATGTTGTCATTTCTTGACATTGACCAACCTCATTAGAACTTTCATAGTTCTAATGAAGCTTTTCATGTTTAGAAAAAAATAGTACTACTGTAAATGTGGAGCTAATGAAGATGAGTAATTTGTACAAGTGTATTTGTTTTGAGATGAACAAAGATTAAGTTTCAACCCTGGCCATTGGAAGAGGAGTAACAGCTATTTTGTTTGTCCTTTAGAGATGTGCAGTAGCTAATTGAATCATTAAGTAAATGTGAATAATTTTGTTTGTATGGAAAATCGATAAGAACAGCCATTTTAATCTCATCTCTCTGACTAGCAGAATGTGTATTTTCCCAAACATTTAATTTTGCTTTTATTGTTTTTCTTCAGGATGGATTAGATGCTTTGGTGTATGACTTGGATTTTCCTGCCTTGCGAAAAAACAAAAACATTGATAACTTCTTAAACAGGTGTAAGTATTTAATATTGTGGTTACTAACTAACTGGGATTAGAAATACCAACTGAAATAAAAGAATTTGTTGTTGCATCTTGAAATCCTTTGAGAAGTCCTTAGAAATTTTGAGTTCAAGGTGTTCTAATAGTCACATTTGTTTATTTACCAGTCAGTACTGACGCAGTTACTAGTAGAAATCTAATCCCCAGCAAATGAATGTTCAAGTTTGCTAATGTAAGTGATGTTGTATTCAGTATCACAGAACCTTTAAAGAGAAAGGCCTGTTTTCTTTGTTCTTGGCAACCTTTTGGATTCCTGTAGCTTGCTGTGTAATATCATGTGCTAATGTACTTAAAGCAATTAGCAGTAAAATGACGTAATGTGTGCAGTGTCAAGAAATCATACTGAAGTGTTCACTGACAGACTGGAGCATTTGTTTCATATTACAAAAGGTCTCTTTACTCTATCCAATACTCTATAGATGCTGTATTTACATATTCATCAGTTCAGAATTATTTTTTTTTATATATGCACAATTGTTAGGTCACCATGGTAGCTTCCTTGATTTTAAAAGGAATTAGCAGGTAAAAAATAATCCATTTTATTATCTAGACAGAAAAAAGAAAAGGGAAGAAAATGTTATAAACATTTTGTTGGTTTTTTTTCTTATTTTACAACTGGGAGATAGCAGTGCCCTATTACGCTTTCTTGTTAATTTTGTTCCCTGTTGGTTTTTTTTGGAAAGAATTTCAAAATTCACATACCTTCAGGTTAATTTTACTCTTATCATAGAATCACAAGGTTGGAAAGCACCTATAGATCATCTAGTCCAACCATCCTCCTATCAACATTACTACCCATTAAGCTACTAAACCACATCTTGTAGCTCCTCATCCAGATGCCGCTTGATCACTGCCGGGGCCGGCAACTCCACCACCTCCCTGGGCAGCCATTCCAGTGCCTGACCACTCTCTGAGAGAAAAAGTTTTTCCTCATGTCTAACCTAAACCTCCTCTAGTACAATTGTGGCCATTTCCTCAGGTCCTGTTTGTTGCCTGGGAGAAGAGGCCAAATCCCTCCTCATCACAACCTTCTTTCAAGAAGTTGTAGAGTGCAATGAGGTCTCCTCTGAGCCTCCTCTTCTCCAGACTAAACAATCCCAGCTCTCTCAGCTGCTTCTCTACTTGTGCTGTAAACCCCTCACTCCTTAGGAAATCATATTATTTATCATATTGCTCTCTATTTTTTCACAAGAAGATATCCTTCTCAGTAATAATATTCTTAATGAAGAATGTTGTACTGCCTGCTTTTCATATCTAAAAGCAAAATAAAACAAAAAAAGCACATCATTTAAGAGCGAAGTCTTTTACAGTCTACCAAACAGATAAATTCTGGAAATGATGGCAGAGGTCTTTCCTGATTCTAGACATACTGCTGTCTGTGGGTAGAATGGGCAAAGCTTAGAATTATATTAAGTTTTATTAGATTTTTACAAGCTTAAACATTGTAATTGAATGTTGTAATAACCAACTTTTATGACAAATGCAAAGTAATTTCATTAAAATAACCTGATTTTTGTCTTTGCTTCATTGAAATTGGTTTAAGTCACAATAATGAACGGGTGGATTTCATTTCATTTCCTATCTGTGCCAGTGTAAGCCCATTTGATGTGGTCTGTGGTTCAGCATGCAAGTCAGGCACTCCAGCAACCAGCTTACATCTAATGTTAAACTTCTCACAGTTCAAGCTATGTTTGAGTTTGTACACATTGTTATGCACACATGTTGTATACTCAGTTATTTGCAGAGAAGGTGTGGTGAAACTGCTGGAGAAAGGAGAAGTTGGATTAGGCAAAGGAAGTTCTTATTTCAAAACATAATTTGAATGCAGTTTTTAAGAATAGTGAAGTTGTCAGAAAGTTTCAGAAGATCTTCGCCTTAGCATTTGGGGATGAGTAAAGGAAAGGAAAATGTTTGTTCACGGTCTGAGAATGAGTGTCTTGTCGGTGTAAATTATTCTGTATAAAATGTAACCTGAAGGAATTTAAGGGTAGAGAACAGACCAAATTATTTCAGCTTCAGACTGCTTTTGGAGATGTAATTTTGCTGTCATTGCTGGAATATGAAAACAAGCTGTGCACCTGTGAGCAGTGACCTTAAAGGGAATGGTGAAATCTAGTTTACCTCAAAATTCTGAGTTAAATAAATAAACAAACTCCTTTATGTAACCTATGACATGCAGGCACGTTTTATTGATTAATAGAAAACCATTAAAAAGTATCTTTTTGCAGTATTAGCTATCCAAATAGTTTACTCCATTATTGTACAACTTCATTGTGGTCATTTACATTACAAATAAAATCAGAGCTTGCTTTATTTTCTAGAGAACATGCTGTTAGGAGAAGCGTAGACAGTAAGTTAACAGTCATTGGAAAAACATTGTCACGGACTGGATGATCTTGAAGGTCTTTTCCAGCCTCAGTGATTCTATGATTCTGTAAGAATTGCTGCACTTCAGTTCTCTGCAGTCCCACCCATCTGCTGCCATAGGTCAGTTTTTGCAATTTGCAAATAAGGCAATGCATTTTATTTTAAATTACTGAATATTTTGATCCTTGTATGAAATATTTTGTCAGAATTTACAGTTTGAACATAGTTTGTTGAAATCAGCTAGGGTCACATTGCATTGTAAGGGATGGCTCCACCATAGTGGTTTGATAGAGTATTTATTCAAACAAAACTGCATTTGTTTCTGTAGAATAATAAAATCTTGATTTAATTGCACATATGCCACTTTCATTTCAGGTAATGGTAGTGTATGCTGCAATCAAATGGTAGTTTTCTGTTGTCTCCCAAGTCTTTTTTTTTAACATGAACTATAGAATTGACATTTCTCTTTTCTCTTCCCTTGTATTTCTTTCCAAGCTTTGCTGTTAGGTCTAGAATATTATTTTTGAAAGTAAAATGATGTTGTATAACTTGTTTTATTAGAAGTATTTTAGTATCTGTTCCTTCTTTTTAGAAATACTGAAACTTGAAGCTTTTCCATGTAATCTCATGCCAGTGTTGACCCACATGGATTAAAATAGACCGTTATAATCTTTGACCAAATTTGGAATTAGAATATCTGCCCACTGGGAGTTGGTAAATTATTGTAGTTTATAGAATGACAGGTTTATATAAATAATTACCATGATTCCCACTGCGTGTTTTAAATTAAAATCTTCTTTTTACAGTAAAATGAATAATGAAAGTGCAGAATTCTGAAAGGTTTTTAAAAATAGTTTAAGTGTCTCTTATGTATACTTAATAACATTTTCTCAGATGTATTGCATAGTTATCCAGAAATAGTCTTTTAAAACCGATCTACTTACAAGCAAGATCATGCTGGATATGAGATTTTCGCATAGCTGCTTTTTTTTTTTTTTTTTTTTTTTTTTTTGTAATATAATTATTTAGAAAAAAATATTTAGAAAAAAAATGCCAAGTGAAGGATGTCCAGTAACTTGAGTGTACCATCATTCTTGTATTATGTTTATGTCAGGTTTGGTTACTACAGTAATGAGAGTGAGGTCATGCATTCTGCAGGGAAGTTTCCAATAGGGAAGTAGGTTAAAATCCAAATCCCCTCTCTAAGGAGTTTATCTTTCAATAATGTTGAAAAATTAAAATAAGAGGTGAATGAGTTTAATCAATTTGATGCATATGAAATGTGAATTTTCTTTCATGTAGATAAAGACACAGTAAATAAAATGAGGGATCTGCGGATGAAAGCTGAAGATTATGAAGTGGTGAAGGTCATTGGCAGAGGGGCATTTGGGGAAGTTCAGCTGGTGAGTTCTGTCGCTGTACGTTTGAATGTCTTCTGTAGCATTTGCTGATGCATCTGTTTCTGAATGCAGAGTTCAGAAGATGAAATCACATATTACATATATATGTTATATATGCATTATGTTATACATTATATATTATATATGGAAATACATATTTCTGTATCTCCCTATCTATTTCTTTTTATCCCATGGAATTGTTTTTGAGAATTTCTGTACTCTCAATCTGCACCTGTTTTGCACTGTAAGTCATACTTCTATTAAAAAGTGGAATATATATTACTCGTAATCCACAAAATCAGTCTTTGCTGGTGTATTTATGGATGCTCAAACAGTTCTTCAGGACTCAAAGAATTTCTGCCAGTTCAGGGCTTACAACTGGAGTTTTGTGGAAGTTTTTCACAGATGAGAGGAGATGTGTGCTGCTGATGTTACATCAGCAACTAGACTTGTTTGTGCTGCTTTATTAAACTGAGAATTGGTGGTAGAAACTAGACATAAGCAGCAATTTTATGTTTGCTAATGATCTCTACAAATGCTAATTGTCTTACTAGTTTTTAAAAGGTGCCTCCACATGTTCTTTTAGAGATATTCACCTGCAAGACATAAAATGATTGTTATGCCTTTGGATGCTGTAGGATAGTTCTAGCAAGTATTTAAAGAGCAATGTCAGAAAGTGCCATCTAATTATTTTGTAGGTGTGGAATATGTAATTCTCTATGAAAGCATGATGGGTCGTATGAAATCTATTAAATAGAGTGAAGCATGAAAAGTATCCAGTTATATTCTCCCTGTATTAATGTGGGAAACTAACGTATTTTGTATGTAACTCTTGTTGTAGGTAAGGCATAAATCATCAAGAAGAGTGTATGCTATGAAACTTCTGAGCAAATTTGAGATGATAAAAAGATCAGATTCTGCGTTCTTCTGGGAAGAAAGGGATATTATGGCTTTTGCTAATAGTCCCTGGGTTGTTCAGGTATAGTGAGATTCCTTTAAAAAACATTATTGGTGTAGAACAGTTCCGTTATAGTGCTGCATGACTTGTTTTTTCATGGTTTAGCTTTTTAAATTCCCTTCTTTGTTACACTGATCTCTTGGAGAAATACATCACTTACAACAGGAGTGCTGTTTGCAACAAATAGCATGTATTGCATTTGGTTGAGAACTGCTTTGCTTTAACAATTGCAAGATAAGCTATTCAGCTTATTCTTAGAACTCTTTGCCAGATGGAAGTTAAAACTGGTGAGTCCACTCCATAGTAATTCTTTGAAGCAGCCCATGTAACAGAAATATGCGTAAGATGTAGCTTCTGCATGTTCCATTTTCTGTATATATTTGCCTGCTCTGGTTATGTCTTCCTCATTTCAGTGTTATTACAATGTTTGGAGAGGCAGTGCTGCCTTTGAAGTTAATATGGAGGATGCCTGAAGCTATCATCATACGTTTGCGTGTGCATGTTAACACATTCGTTTAAACTGTTCTTACCCTTAAGCATGCAAATTCTTTTGTTAAGTTAGAATTAAACAAAATCATTCAAGAGTAACCTAAAAGTCATACAAGTTTTACCGCAGTCAAACAGGCAACTACATCACTTCTGTCTAGGAGTGATTGTCCAACAGAATATTTTATGATTTTCTGAAAGGTTTAAGGAATCATATTTAAATCTACGTTCACTAATTGTGTTGAACAGAGCATCGACTACTGTAAGGGAAGTACTGCTTTTGTTGGTTGTTTTAAATTTGGATTCACTTTCTAAACAATGGATACACTGACAGTAGAATAATAAATATTTAGTGATAACACAAATAGAATCAGGAAGATGCTTGCAGTACAGTAGTTTCATGTTTACATATTTGTCAGTTGTCATTCCAGGGAGAAAGGAAGCATTACGTTCTATTATGCAATGAACTCTCTTTGAAATTATCTCAATATTTATTGCACCAGATTGTGATCTGGAAGCAGAACTCTACTGCTTACGTAGTAATATAAAAGAATGAAAAATCTGGCAGAAATTAACTTGAGATTAAGATCTTTTCAGAAAGTCTACTGGATGGTGAAAAGGTACTGCAGTAGTTCTAGCAATTCCATTACTCAGTTGACTTAGTCAGGTGGCACAAGAATTCCAGGGTTTTCCAACTAGCAAAAATGAAAGATATCTGGAACATTCAGTGACTTGTTCTTTTATTTTCTTTTTACAGTTATTTTATGCATTCCAAGATGATCGTTACCTTTACATGGTCATGGAATACATGCCTGGTGGAGACCTTGTGAATTTAATGAGTAACTATGATGTTCCTGAGAAATGGGCAAGATTTTATACTGCTGAAGTTGTTCTTGCATTAGATGCAATTCACTCAATGGGCTTTATACACAGGTGAAAAAAAAGAATTGTTTACATAGTGTTTTAATTCTGTCAGAATTTAATTGTTTAAGATAGTTTAAAAATTGCTAATGTTTCTTCTTCTCTATTGTTTCAATATTATTCTATATAACAACTACAAAAATTCTTGCTACCAGAAATTACAGATCTGAGGTGATACAGTCAAAATAAAGTTTTTCAGTTCCTCTGTTCAGAGAATAATAAAATTGTCGCACTTTACCAAGAGGTGCAGACCTAAAGTGACATGAGTAAGTTGATCCTAAATTAATTCATTTAACTTGGTCTAGTGGTTAGATTAACATTTAACCCAGTCTCGTAGCAGGGGGATTGAAACTAGATGATCACTGTGGTCCTTTTTAACGCAGGCCATTCTGTGATTCTATGATTTTATGATCAGCTTCATGAGAGAAAGTTGTTTGGAGAATTTGATAGTAGTACTTAGATATTAGTAATTACTGACTCTTAGCTCTGCATTTAGGCACTGGAATGGGCTGCCCAGGGAGGTGGTGGAGTCACCAATCCTGGAGGCGTTCAAGGAACTTGGGATTTTGTGTTGAGGGACGTGGTTTAGTGAGAGCTGTTGGTGATAGGTGGATGGTTGGACTGGGTGATCTTGTAGGTCTTTTCCAACCTTGGTGATTCTGTGATTTAGAGCCTCACATGGCAATAGTGACCCATTCAAAAAGAAACTGAACACGATTAGGAAAATCTCCCAGCCACCTATTTTCTTGTAAGAGGCCAAATGGAAAACAGACAGGGAGAAAAAGAACTTAACTTACTTTCATGTTATCTTTTTAACCTCGGGTGTCGTCACTTGTCAGATAAATTGAGATGTTCTCTGTTGATGTTTGAACTTTTGTCTGTTTATCTAATTAACTGTGTTATCTAGAAGTAGAAGAATAAATTTATCAGCAGAAAATACGGGAACAGTTTGAGAAGGGCATGGTATATATTCTCAATTTGTAATTTGGTCAGATCAGCTTTAACACATTTTTGTACAAAGAAAAAAAGCAAAGCATGAAGCTATTAATCCATTGCTTGAACAGGATGTAGGTGATACATCACTAATGATGTCACTGTACTACATTTAATGAATGGTCAGGCAGAACCATTTATGCGTGTGTACTGCATTCTTTAGAAAACAGACAACTGCAGTTGATTTGCAGTGCTGCTGGCTTTTCCTGAAATTTTAAAATATTTTGGGGCTGACAGTTTTTTTTTAATTTGAGGAGTGAATGGAAACTGATGAAAATGAGGGCTGATGTAGTGACAAAGGAAGTGGGAAGGGCTGAGGCTGCTATCTTTACCTCAACCTTCACTTGTAAGGTCTGCTGTCAGGCCTCCTAGGTCCCTGGTGGCATAATCTGGAGGACTAAAGCATTTCTGTGACAGAGAAAGATCAAGCTGTGTCCCATGTAGGCAAATTGGGCATATACAAATCTAAGGTCAGTACGATGCACCAAAGGTTTTGAAGGAGGTGGTCATAATACTGCTATATGGAGTTTCTCCCTGGGGAGGAGTGGAGAAGAGGATCAGAGGACTGCAGGTTGATCAACACATTGACAGTCTCTGGGAATAGTATGGAGTATATTATCAGGAAACAGCTTCTAAGCACATGGACAAAAAGGTGACTGGGAACGGCCTGCATGGATTTACCAAGGGTAAAACTTGTCTTCTAACCTAAAGGCTTTTGATGAAGTTGTGATGGAGAGGTAGCTGGAATAGGTATACTAAAATATGGCCTCAAAGGGTTTTGCTCAGTAGAATGAAGTCCAGCAGGTTGCTAGGGATTCCTTAGAAGGTTGATGAGGTCAGCACTGTTTCTATTTGCAAGTAATGTTCTCATGAGACAGAATGCACCAGTCTTCAGCGGCCCAGTGAGACTTCATATAGAAGGTAAAGCCAGACTTGAAATTGCACAGTGATGGGGTTAGAGGCAGTGATGGCAGAAGTTGCAGGAAGGGTAACAGTGCTGGCAGAGGTTTCCTAGAGCCTGTGGAATCTCCTCCTTGAAGATCTTCCCTGCTCTGGGTGTCCCTGTTGGAACCAGGGTAGGGCCAGAGGACCCTGCCAACCTCAGCCTGTCTGTGAATATTTAGTTATTCGTTAGGAGATATTTTGAGTATGGCCAAATGATGGAAGAGAGTTCATGAGAGTTTGTGAAATCCCCATCCTTGAAAAAAACACCAAACTCGACTGGATTCAACCCTGGGGAACCTGAATGTGACTTTGAAGTTTAATCTTATTTCCTTAGTTGTGCTTTAATCAGGCAGTTGGCCTAAGCATGTTAGAAAAACTCCCGACTAAAATTATTCTGTGTATACTGATACATTTCCACTGTGTGCCCTGAGGTGAGGTAGTGCTAGAGCTATTCATTTCACAGTAGTGGCCTGAGTTGTTGTTTTGAAGTCCCAGAAATTTACTTTTTTCTGAAACTCATTTTATATTTCTGATTGCAGCTTCTTACTATTATTCTGCTACAGTATATTTAATACCATTAACTTTGAACTTCACCAGTTAGCTTATGGAAATTTCCTTTAAGAGAATTACCGTGTGGAAAAGGGCATACAACAATGCTGCTTCTAAGCCAGAGAAATAGTTGTTCACACACACACATATTTCAAAAAGTGACATGCATTTGTTCCCTGAAAATAGAAGTGATGCAGGAGGGAAAAAAGCTGTGTTCTCAAGGTCTGATTGATAAGGTCTGATTATCTGGGAATTTGATGCATTTCTTTTTATGTAGGTGAACTGGATCTTAATGGAGATGGGTTTTAAACCACTGAGTGTTTTGTTTTTTTAATTATTATTTTATTTTGGAACAAGAGTAACTTCTAGATTTGTTAAATTCACTGACTTGAGACTGTGTTCCTACACTCATTATCACTTTTTAAAACGTTTAGTTCCACAGTCTGCATGTAGGGCATGATGCTTTAAGAAGGAAAAAATAGAGGAAATGGTATACTTTCATGTTGTTTTTCCTTGCTATGTTACATCTAAAAATGGATGACTGCTACTGTTTTCATCAGTTAAATTGACCAATTATCACAAATGTTTTTCTCTTTTCAGAGATGTGAAGCCTGATAATATGCTGCTAGATAAAGCTGGTCATTTAAAACTAGCGGATTTTGGTACTTGTATGAAAATGAACAAGGTAGGCGTAAGTTTTTAACTTTACTTTTCTTTTTGTAAAAGGAAAGTGTATCTGAAAGTGAAAATAAAATAAACTGAAAACTTTTTAGATGAGAGGTGTCCGAGATTCCCCTCTATTCCTGTTACTATTCTTTATGCATCCTATTAAATTACAGTATAGAATGTGAAAATGATTCTGAAAATAGGGACTGCATCAACTTCTATACCCTTTCAGACAGACCATTAATTGTCTCTTGATCCCTCTGGACTGTTCAAGTTTTTGTTATCAAAGTTAGTGTGAAAGAATGAGATTACTTCCAGCTAGCTTGTCAGTGATGAAAGAATCAAAGCTGATGTCTAAGTTGTTGAATCCTGATTATACTTACTAGCATATTCTGACCTTGCAGAAAGGTGAATCTGAAAGAAACAAGTTGAAGAATTATTTTTCAAAATAAGAAGTACTTCAAGTGTGGAACATTGTTGTTCCCTACACAGAGTTGATTAGTTTGTCCACCTGCACCTGTGTACTAGGAAAGCGATCTGAAAGAGATGATACTTTACAAATAGAGTCTGTGTAATATACACATCATGTTTTCAGTTTATTCTAGGAGCATTGAATAAATAATTCATTTAGCTGCTTTGCTGTAAGTAAAAGGCACCAGTAAAAACCAAATGCAGGCTGTGTGCACAAATTGAAAAAGCTGGCTTAAGTTACAACCAGTCCACTTCAGTGCAGTAGCAGACACATAATTTGTCTTAATTTTGTCTTAATACAGATTTTTGGGGACTGATTTTGCTCTTAACAATGGAAACTCTTGAAATACAGAAGAATATTCAAGTGCTTAAGCTTTAAGTGCCAAAAAGAAGTAAAAGCATAGGATTTTGTATATTAGTGTGAAAGAAGTAAACTTGTGTCAATCATGCTTTGCATTCTGTTCTGTACTAAACAAAGCTAGCTGTGTGTTGAAGAGCACGAGTAAAGTAGCTCTGTGGAAGAGAAACTGCTCCATGTAGACAGGAGCTTGATACAGGTGCATTCTGGATTCACTGCACAAGCAGCATTTGCTTTGTTGTATTTCTTATTTATCTATTTTTGTACAAGTTTTTCTACTGATCCATTTCTAGAAACAGTGTAGACTTATTCTGAAAGTATCTGAATACTGGAAAGGGTGGTGTGATTTCTGCTTCAGTGTTCTAGTTGCCATCTCTGGTGTGATTGCTGTGCTCTTCTGCCACTCCTTTCTCAGGAGGGTGAGGAGTGTAAAACATTCTTCTGACCTGTTACTCAATTTGAAGTCTCTGATTCAAGTTTCAGGGCCTTATCTACACTGCAGTCTTCCTGGCATTTAGGATATTGGATTGGAAGTGAAAAAGTTAATTTAGCTGGTCTTGACAGCAAAATCCTGAATGTTTGACTTTTACACTAACAGAGGAGCTTTCCTTGTTTACCCTAAATCCTGTCAGTATGTAAGACACTCATACTTGCTTGAGCAAGTAATCCAGTGCTTTGTTCTGGATTTAGTAGGTTAGTGATTAAAAATGTATAAATACCCATTCCAAGAAGAACATTTGTTAATGAAAGTTGATGTTGATTTATCAGCATTGTTTAGGCTGTGTGTACTCTTGAAAATGGCTTGCAATTTTGGCTCTTACATTTGGGCCTGGCTTTTTTTTTTCTCTTTGTAGGAAGGTATGGTACGATGTGATACAGCTGTAGGAACACCAGACTATATCTCTCCTGAAGTATTGAAGTCCCAGGGTGGTGATGGTTATTATGGACGAGAATGTGACTGGTGGTCAGTTGGAGTTTTTTTGTATGAGATGCTTGTAGGTGAGTAGTAGGATAATAAGAATGAACTGTATTACTTAACTCTAAGTTAAAATACCACTGTTGCTTTGACTGTTTAATGTCAAACTTTCCTGCCATAAGTTGTGATTGTGACTTCATTGCTCATAAAGCATATTTTGGAAAGATTGTGGCACAGTTCTCAAACACTTGTCTTTACCTGTTGTTCAGTTAGTTGCTTACATTCATTGAGTATATAATTCAAATGCTATACGTCAAATCCATAGTATTTATCTGTGTTTTCATTTTTGTCTTGTTGCTTTTTCAGGTGACACACCTTTTTATGCAGATTCTTTGGTTGGAACATACAGTAAGATTATGAACCACAAGAACTCCCTTACCTTCCCTGATGACAATGAGATCTCTAAAGAGGCAAAAAACCTTATTTGTGCCTTTTTAACTGATAGGTGAGATTTAAACTTTAATCAAAATGAAAGTAAGCTTTTGTTAAGGAAAACTATCATGTTGAAAGAACGTAAGTGTGTGTATCTCTGTATAATGTGTTGATACGGGTTTCTAAACTGCTCAGCACAAGTGAAATTTTCATTGTCTTGGTAGGAACGCAGTGTAATTTAGATGCTACTGTAGTTTGATGTATGCAGTCTGAATGCAGTTCTTTTGATTGAATGTTCTCCTTTGTGGAAGCTGGATTTTGTTTGTCTCAACAACATAAGAAAATGTTGGCCTCTTGTTTAAAGTACAGGAAGGATGTCTTAAATTTAGTCAATAAACTTTTAGAACTTCAGTCACTTAAATCTTTTAAGTCATTTTGTCTACTTTGAAATAATGTTTTGCTTAATGTGAAGTAGCAGTTACTAACCAGTGTTGCTGCAAAGTGGACAAGCAGGTATCATCAGTTTTACTTTGTCCAGTCTCAGCCTGGGACAGGAATCCCCAGTGCTTGCTGCTGTCCTTTGTGGTAGCTATCATGTACAGTGGTGGAAGGGAAATGCTGCTACTGTGAATACTTCTACCTTCTAAACTTGGTTGACTATAAATATTTCTTAGTAACAGCTGCTGTGTTGTGGAGTGTCATAAGAGGCATGGGGTCCTTTGGGATGAAGCTGAAGCAAAAGGTGCATTTTGTGAGCATCCCTAATACAATCCCAGCTGCTAGTGGGCATTCAGTCCACAGGATCAGGGTAGAGACAACCCAAAGGAAGCCCCCTGGATGAAATGTGGATGTTAGGCTTTCTAATTTTGCAGATGCACTCCAGTTGTTCCCATACTACTTAGTGTTATAAGCATAGCCTTTGCTTGAGACCCAGTGCTACAAAGGACGGGGACTGTTGCATTTGCTGAACTACGTGGGATTCAAGCAATGGCACAAACTCCTTGAAAGCTGTCTGGTCAGTCTGTAATGATAGAAATAGTAACAGCAGGAGTTCTTGTAGACGAGATTTAAACCAGATTTTTGTTCTGAAGTTACCTGTGGTGTTGCTGTAGTTATTTTCATATCTAAAATCTTTGAGATATGTCTGTTTCTTGCCTTAGTTTGAGAGGTAATTATTTTCACTTTGTTGTGAGATATGCTGTAGAGTGAATCTTCTTTCTTTTGGAATGATTTATGTTGTTGTACATGCTGTACTGAAAAAAGCACCTCTTCACAGGGAAGTGAGACTGGGACGAAATGGCGTAGAAGAGATTAAACGGCATCTTTTCTTCAAAGATGATCAGTGGGCTTGGGAGACTCTCAGGGACAGTAAGTATAATGCTTTTCTCAGACACTGTGATCTGGCTTACTAATGTATCATGTTAGCAAAACAACTGCCATATTTCTTTTCAATAGAATTTAGTCTTCCTTACTTTGTAGCAAGGAATGAGGTTTCTTAGACACCAAAGAGACATTCCTCCCAAACTCTTAACTTTTACTTGAATGATAAAATGGTTATTACGGTATAATTATTCCTCTTTTTTCCTAGCTGTAGCACCAGTTGTGCCCGACTTAAGTAGTGACATAGACACTAGTAATTTTGATGATATTGATGAAGACAAAGGAGAGGAAGAAACATTTCCCATTCCAAAAGCGTTTGTGGGCAACCAGCTTCCTTTTGTTGGATTTACGTATTACAGCAACCGTCGGTATGTACAAACAAGCAATCTGGTGGTGTATTCTCTAGTCAAGACTCCTGTTTAACTCTTAGCAGTATATAAATAGAAGCCAAACAGATTTCTTACTAATGAGTCAGAATCCTAACAAATTACACTTTGACACTTTGATAGCTAATATTTCTAGTCATCAGTATCTTAAATATCACACTAATTTTGTGAATATCTTACTCTCTGCTAAGAATGTTGCAGAGTGGTGCAGCAGAAACTGAGCAAGAATAATTATCGTCTGTTGCTGCCATAAAGCTGCCTAGAGGGCACTGAAATATCCATGTCATCGTGAATTAGGGATATGAATATCACTTTTGTTGAAAAGTTCCTAAGTTTTATACAAGGATTCCACATCACTTATGTAGTATTATGATAAATTAAAATGTCTGAAGTTCTCTGTGGGTCACTTGAAAGAAAGTATTTTTCTTTTCCCTGTTATCTGTGGTAGTTTATCTTATTCAGAGTATTCAACTACAGTGTGAGATAGTTATGTTTCAGTTTTTGCTGCTCCTTAAAAAACTTTAAATGACATCAGTTGAAATTACACTGATTTGTACTTCAACATTCATTATTATTATAGGCTCTGTAGATAGCTATATCTACATTCAAAAGATCTTTTTCTTACCTTGAATGCAGCTTTTTATTGTCGTGGGTGTCAGTCACACTTAAAATGGACTAAGACTTCTAGTAGAATGTGCCAGAGAAATGTGACTTAGTTTTTAGACTTAGCATTTGAGGATAGGAAAGCTTTAAAGAAAAATAAATCTGTTATTCAGCCTTGGATAGAAGAGGAACCACTTTTCCAAACTTGTGGTGAAATTCTTTCCATCTCAGCTGTGAGTTGGATTTTTTAATGTAGTAAAAACAAGCTTTGCAGACAGTTTGAGTTCAACAGTCATATAATTTTACCTATTGTTTTGACTTCAGTCTATAATGAAAAAAAAATGTCTTAATTTTTGACTTGTGGGAAGACTTTGGAACATATTATCAAGAAGGTGAAATAGCATACTGATGGCTGTTGATAACTGAAGTTTTCTCTTCCCCTTACCTTGTTGGGTTGGGGACAGTACCAGGAATTCAGAGACTAAAAGATTGTTTTACTGTTGTGATAGAACTCTTCCACTAAGTGCTATTGTTAGGTTGTATACTTACTGGAACTAAAATAGTTTCTGGAATTGATACGAATCCCGTAATACTCTGTTGTGACAGTTTTGAAAAGTCTGAAATGACCATTTGTAATTGCTAGACCTGTAATCCTAATTTTAATTCCCTTTTTATATTGAAAATGGTTCAAACATTAAACTGTGCATTTACTGCATGCATCTTCCACTTTCTTTGGTTTTGTTATATTTGACATATGCTTAGAGTTAAAAGAAATGGGGATATAAGAAGATGATCTGACTTATGTCACTGAAGGAAGTCATAAGGTATTTAGTAAAAAATATTTTCTACAGCTGTAATTTCATTGATTCCAAACTAGAAAACATGATTCTTTATTATTGAACTTCACCTATAGCACAGGTTTTGGAATACTAGATGAGAACAGTTTATAGCAATTTGTAGCTTTTGCATTCCCTTCTGGGTTGAGGTTATTCCTACTCTTCTCTGGTGCTGTGACTGCTTCAGTATGATATTTTTCCTGCTCAGTAGCCCCTGGTGTGCAAATTATGATAGCTTCTTGAACTTGAGACACTCGATCCCTTTTTAAAGGGAACTATCATGTTTTCTTTTTGTCATTTGGTTATCTGTAAGCAGTCCTGATGTTTAATTTGACTGGTTTGCAGATGTCTTTGATGTTACCCTCCTTGATAGTTTGAAGGGGTTTTGTTTCATGTGGAACAACAAAAAAAAAAAGAGGATGCTTCCATCTTCCTCAGTTCATGTGCTGGGGATTTCTTCCTCACACAATCTGATATAGTTGAGGAATCATTCATGTGTCTCTACAGCATTTATCAGGCCAAGAATATCACACCAAATGCGGGAGTAACTATCAGACAGTCACTTGTATTTATTTACCTGACTGTTTAGAATCACTACAAATAGACATCTGTGGTATTTTTAGAAAAGAGTTCTGTGAAATAGCACTCCAGCACAACTTTGTGTGTGGAACTTCTAATGACTTTGTTGGAAGTTATGCGCGCATGATCTCTGCAGTTTGCTTCATTACTACTTGTTTCAGAAGTGCTGGAATAAATATTTATGGGACGCAAGCCAGAGAGAGCATTGTAACCATGGAAAGCAAAGATTTTTTTAATAGTTTTTTCTTTTAAAAGTGGTTGTATTAATACTTGGCAGAAATTCTATTTTCAAGAGATCTTCTGCTGCAACTTTCTTCTTTCTACTTGAAGCCAATTTTTGCAATTAATTGTGTGTGTGGTTTTTTGGTTTATTTTTTGCTCAATTAAATGTGCTTGAATCTTGAAGTATGATAAATAATCCGATTATGTTACTATTTGGTTATCCAGATTTTGGGACAAAAAAAAATCAGAGGGTTCTATTTTTAGTGTGATTATATTCCGTTTTTCCGTTTTCCTTTTAAACAATTCTCAAAATAACTTTTAAAATGTTGTTGCAGGTATTTATCTGTCTCTGCAGAAAATTCCAATGATAACAGAACAGGCTCCAGTATGGATAAAAGTGTGGTATGTCTCACTGATTTTAAATTTTATTGTATACCAGAGAGTCTGTTCCATGTATGCTTATAAACTGATTTCTAGTTGCCTCTGTTTTAGTGCTTCGAGATAGAGGAGAGCAATACATGGCATTGAACTGTGCTTGTTAAATTTGTTGGAAAAACTGAATTTCAGTTCTTCCTAAAACATTAACTTTTATGAGTGGGAATAAAATGGTTGAAGCTGCATATTCTTCATATGAAGTGACATTTGCTGAGTTTGTCTTTTGAAATTTTGAAGTGTTTGTGCAGTATTTTTAGAGTGCAGTATCTATCCCAGCTGTACACTGGCTTTATGGGGATCATCCAGACCTGCTTGTGATAGGAAGTTTGAGCTTTCCAGCAGCCCACTGGAGCTTCCTGTGGGATAAGTGGGAGGTGGCAGATGAGGCAGCAATGCAGCAGTTCTCTTTTTCGAATAAAATTCCCAAGCTTGGGTGTCTGCTCCTTCTCAAGGGTACCCCACAAGATTTTGAGATTCAGGGCACCAAGAAGCTGCATTTGTTTATATAGCAGCTGACCTATCTGAAGAAAAGAGCATAAAAGTTGAGCTCTTTTGGTTACTGCTTCCTAAGCATCTTGGCGGTCATGTTACCGGGAAGGTAAGCTGCTATTTTAGGAGCGAGGCAGGCATGGATTCTGTATATTTTGGTATAAAGTAGGCTATTCCATTTCATATTTTTAAGTTGTTTTTTTTTTTTTTCCCAGTATAAAATGCTGACAAAAATGATAATTGACTCTAAATAACTCTTATTGGCTTTGATTGATTTACTTTGTTAGTGCTTTGTTCTATTACGATTTCCATTTAGAGTCAAAGAGAAGCACGTTTCCTTTGAGGTGATGTTCATGCACGTTCCCTTTTCTCTTAAACTTGTTATATACATGTTTTAGTGATATATGGTATTACCTCCTAACAATTTGTAAAAGGCAAGGGAACTAGTAGTTTATTTTATTGGACTAAGTGAATTTATTAAGCACTAAACTGTTTTGATTTTTTTACGTATGCTTTTATCTTCCATAAATTTTGCTTTTCTCATCAGCTAACAGTATGACTGTTCGTGAGGCAAAATTAAAAAGAGAGCTAGAGTTTCACATATTTGTAGATACTTAAAGATGTACTTTGAGCTTGGGATGACCTTAAAGATAGTTGTTAAATGGACTTTGCAAACATTGTGGAGCAAACCTCTGTTTAGCTAAAGATTCCTAGAGCACTGTCTGAACTGTCAGGGCTATTAGAATGTCTTGTGATTTTAACAGTTCTGGGAGGGGAAGCTCTGGAAGGATGTGGGTGATAGAGAGGTTTAAATGAATGTTAAATCTTTACTACGGGGTATTTTTATCTCTCTCAGCTGTTTTTCCTTTCATTACATGCTGCAATGAAAACGGTAATGTTAACACATGGTTAGCACAATAATTAATTCTGGAAATATAACACAATGTAAACTATCTGTATTTATGGTATAGTACTGAGCATCTTCTCTGAGGGACTGAATGCCAGAAATCAGGAGTGTAAAATTTCATAAAATCAGACCATGAAGTCAGAGAAAAATGGAATTGAAATCCTTTTAGCTGAATTTCAAACCTCTTTAAGATCTGATTATTTACTTTCATTTAGTGCTACCCTAAAATCCTGTCAATGGTTCAGGTATTAAGGAGACGAACAAATATTTTTGCACTGGATCTTTGATATTCTTCATTGCTCAGGGGGCAAAAGCAGATGCACAATGCTTTGGTGGTTTAAAAAATAAATAAAATATGGCAACTTCAGAGGGATTTTTCTTGGTATCTCTGCCGTAAACAGAGAGTAAGACACAAGGGAATGCTTTTATATTAAGTTACAATTAACCCAGGCTTTTCTGAAGGTATTATTTAGATTATTGATATCAGACTGTGCAAAAGTGCTCTTGAAGCCTGTGGTCTTGCACTAATGTAATGTGACTGCTCAGTAAGATTAGATAAATGTAATCCTATAAATGTATCCAGAGATAGAAGTAAGAAGAAGCAATAGAGGTCCAAACTATGAGGGGTCAGTACAGAAGTGCTTCAGTTACCTAAAGTCTTTAGAACTGTTCCTCCATCGCATGTAATTCCTTTATGGGTTAAAATGAGTAACCAAGAAGTAGATGAGCAATTATCTTAAAGTTTCTTGATCCTTTATTTTTGTGTATTGTCTGTGGATCCTTTTCGGTTGAGTGAGAGCTTGCCTTTAAATAGTCTGGCTTTGTTTCTCAGTGGTTAATACCAGTGGAATAAATGTGTTGTGCACCAGTTCTCCTTCCCTCTTCCTCTGAGTTGACAGTGGTTTTTGCCTACAGCCATTTTTTTTCCGAATGGTTCTATGTCGTATATAACACCAGTAGTTAGTTTTCCAAAGCTGCTCTGTAGGTGCTGAGAAGTCTATTACTTCCAGCATTTCACAGAATCACCAAGGTTGGAAAAGACCTACAAGATCATCCAGTCCAACCATCCACCTATGACCAATAGTTCTCAATAAACCATGTCCCTCAACACAATGTTCAACGTTTCCTTGTTCTCTAAAGGCTTTCTGGTAGGTAGAGGTAAATACATAGAACGTGGAGTAGTCAATACATAAAATATGTGGTTTCTGGTTAGTCCCTTGTTGCCATATCTGTGTTCCTCTGAAAACTTCTGCTTCAGAGCATGGATGGAAGAAAAATGAGGAAGTGAGAAAGGGTGTCTGGTTCTTGGGAGTACCAAAGTGGGCTCATTGCTTTTTTCCTACTGAAGTAGAAAGGAGTAAAGACTGGAAACAGGAATAAGAGGAACACTTGCCTGCAAGTAGACAAAAATTATCTCAATGGTAGCTTTCTTGTTTAATATGGTTAAAGCATGCTGTGTCTTCAGTTTAGGACCAAACAGAAGACTGTCCTGTTTGAGGACATTTACTATTGCTATGAAACAAGAATGGAAGGAGAACTCCTCTTTATGGTTTTAGTGTGCAGTTCTAATTTTTTAGGTGTGTTTTGAGGGGGAAAAAGTGGAAGAGGTGGACATCAGAGGAGCTGTTCTGTTTCTCCTTTTTCTGGGAAGATTGTGCAAAAAGGAATTGGGCAATTATCAGAGTTTGTGAAGTTAGAAGAAGAAATAAGACAGCCGAGTGTCAGAACTGCTTTCATGTGTTGCTTTGAGGAGAGTCTAGATTAGGACTGTAGTTTTTCTCTGTGCTATTCAGAAAGGCTGAGAGAAATGTGGGAAAGCTAAATAAGGCTGAAATCCTTACAAGATCAGTGGAAAAGTTTAGAGTGAATCAGCACAGACTTGACTTAATGAGCTTCCTTGAAGCTGATACCATCTTGTTAATTGAGGATCTTGCTGATGTTGGAGTGAGATTATTGTGCACAGAAATCCAGTAGAAGGCAGATATTTTGAGACTGCATGGAAAGAATGAATTCAAGAATTTGTTTTGCTGGCAAACAGTAAATGCAAATTACCATTCTGTATTAACATACGAAGCCTGTTACTATTTTCAAACCTTAGTACAAGGCTATCTGTAAAAAAATCTCTCAACTTAATATTTAAGAGCATTTTCCCTCTCTGCTAATAACTGATGGGCCTGGTTCTGCTTCCTGAACTGAGAACTGAAGATGCATTGCAAAATACATTTAGTAGGTTATGCTAGAAAAAGGAATTAACGTTTAACAAAATACTTCTGAAAATACGGAAAACAAGGCGTACCTGACCTGACTTTGTCCCATTAATTTTGATGGAACTATACACAGACTTAAAATTTTGTTCATGTGTATAATTTTATATTCTTTCTTGTAACTAACTTTGATTTTTTTGGAGGAAAGGGAAGAGTAAGTCAGCTTAAAAACATAGTGTTTAATTCAAAGTGAGTAGGCTGTGATAGTGTTAAGTAGTTCTGAATATACTGAAATTCCTTTTTGACGTTTCTGAATTTAATGCGTGTTCTTTCATGTACAAATATATATATTTAAAGATGGAAAATATGCAGAAGATGATCTATGATTTGGAAGAGCAGCTACATAATGAAATGCAGCTGAAAGATGAAATGGAGCAAAAGTGCAGGTGAGACTTTGAATTTGATTTCTTTGTGTAATTTTAATGTATCTAACACTTCAATTCTGTATTACTACTTCAGGGATTACCAGAATAACATTATTGTGCTGTATTCCTACAAGGGAGTTCCAGGTGCAGGTTTAAATCATTCCAAAGCAACATTTGAACGGTTTTCTTGATTATAGTGTCAAGGAAATCCTTTGTTTTCATTGGCGTTCATTTAAAACATTTTCTGAACACTCATAAATTTGAGTTTATCTAGTTCTTCTGAATTAAGATGCCTTAGTGGAATGAAGAACATTTTTGGGGAAGAGTAAAATACTCGATGTACCACCTGTCGGACTACTAACATTGTCTCTGCTATCTAAATACATGGTAATTTTTACAGAATCCCATTTATTTTAATTCCTGGGACTGACAGGTGAGACCAAGGATTTTCTTTCCAGAGGTCTTGTTTCTGCTATGTTGAAGTAGCTCTGTGTAAATTTGCCCACTTTTTGCAGGTACACTTAAGATCAAACAAGTGGGAATATTCTTTTGTAATAACTAGAAATTTTTACTCAGTCATTCCACCTACTTTCTTTCAGTTAGCTTTTCCTTTTGAAGTGCTTTCCTGAAAGCCTGAGTAAAGTTAGAATGCTACGCTATGCATAGGATACGGGAAGAATTAATGCTTGAGATTTAGGACCGAACTCTGTAGCTGTACGAGCTACTTAAATAGAAACTGATAACCAAAATGGTCCTGTGTGAATGTATGCTGTGTGACTTTGTCTGTTCACTTGTTTTGATCTCTTTATACAAGTAGGACACATGTTGCTTGAAATATAGTCAGTAAGTGCAGCAGTTCCTGCAGCACTAATGAAATTTTCAGAGCACAACAGTGTATTTTCTCAGACAGCCTGTTGTTTACTGTAGATTTTGTTGATTGGATACGTTGCTGTGATAGCTCCTTACTGTTAAGCTGGCAGATGACTTTGTCTGAGTCCTCCTTGTTATCTCTCTAAAGAGGGATTTGTAGTTGCCAAAATGTATTCACTGAGATTTTTACCTGTTAACTGAAAGTTTTATGGTGTGCTTAACTTTGCTCTCTGTGTTCAAATAAGTTATTTCAACTGAGACTTTCGGATAATACTACTTAAATGTTTTATATGTGATAGTGAGGTGATTACTATTGAAATAAACATTTTAGTTATCTGGGAAGCTCAAAACTAGAAGTAGTCTTAGCAGTTCATGAGAATATTCCAATTTTAATGATACTCTCTGTATTTACTGTTTTACATTTCAGATCTAGGGACAAAATATGACACCTAAAGTCTGCAGCGAAGTTATAAATACTTAAGATATTTTATGAACCACTTGCAATGATTAAATATTTTCTTTGTTTTTTAATTACTTAGAACAAAATAGAATTAATTCAAATGCAGCACTTCAGTGATGACTGGAAACTTTTTAACTGGAAAAACATAATATATCCTTGTTAATCATTTCATTTTTAGGTCTTCAAACATAACGCTAGACAAGATAATGAAAGAACTGGATGAAGAGGTAAGGTATTTTCTCACTGAAGCATTCTTAGCTGGATGAAGAGTACGGATAGTACTTCAACAATTCAAGTTTTTTCTCAGTTTAAATTTGAGGCCAAATTATCTCACTTCATTACATAGCTTTGGAAAATATGTATTTATTTGTTCACACTTTCAAAATCTTTTTTTTTTCTTGATGCACTGATTTGAATTGTTCCCTCTGCTAAATGTTTTACTTAGACTTGATCATTGCAGTTTTTTGACATTTATCAATATCAATTATTCTAAAAAATAGTCTACAGCAGATTTTCTCTTGAGTCCTTACGTTGTATCTTAATATTCGGTTTAATGGTTACTTAAATGTAAGCGTGCTAACAAAAATTTTTCTAGTAATTTGATAAATTTGTGATGTAGGAGCTTTAAATAGTTATCTTTTGTAAATACTTTTTTCAAGGGAGCCCAAAATGAATCCACTGAAAATGATGCGTCAGTTTCCTTAACTATTTGCAGAGATGTTGCTTTAGGTATCATTCATTAAAATGTAAACTCCAATGTATTCAATTTTAGGGAAATCAAAGAAAGAACCTAGAATTAACAGTGTCCCAGATTGAGAAAGAAAAGATGGCACTGCAGCATAAGATAAACGACTATCAAAGAAAAATTGAACAAGAGAGTGAAAAGAGACGGAATGTGGAAAATGAAGGTATGTCACATTGTCCAAATGTTGAAACAGATGAGGTAGATGGTGTGTTTAATAATTTACAATGTTAACGTCTTAAGTGCTGCAGAACACAAATTTTGAGTGCTTTTTCTTGAGTCTTAACGGGATGTTATTTTTGTCTTATTTTCAAATTCTGTTCTCTACAGCATGTTGTTATTCTGCAGACATGGAATTTGATCTAAAAATGTACAGCTGTTTACAAGGGTGGATAGTGATAGGACAAGGGGGAATGGTTTTAAACTGAGACAGGGAGGGTTTAGGTCAGATATTAGGAGGACGTTTTTCACTCAGAAGGTGGTGAGGCACTGGAACAGGTTGCCCAAGGAGGCTGTGGATGCCCCATCCCTGGAGGCATTCAAGGCCAGGCTGGATGTGGCTCTGGGCAGCCTGGTCTGCTGGTTGGCGACCCTGCACATAGCAGGGGGTTGAAACTGGATGATCATTGTGGTCCTTTTTAACCCAGACCATTATATTATTCTGCGATAAGAAAAAGGTTAACGAAAGACTTAAATGTCAGTGGACTTGTATGTTCAAGTGTGTTTGTTTAAAAACTAAAGAATTTTATTAATCTGCTTTATTAATGGTGTAATTTCTCTTTAGTTTCTACGCTAAAAGATCAAATGGAAGACTTGAAAAAAATCAGCCAGCATTCACAAATTACAAATGAGAAGATAACACAGTTACAAAAACAAGTATGTTGTTTGTTTGCTGTTTTCATAATTTCTTAAATCTGAGGAGCAGTATTGTGCATTCATATAAAACAAAATTTTTCCCAATAAGTAAATTTCCATGTTTGAGAATCTTCTTTTATTTTTCCTCTAACAGCTAGAAGAAGCCAATGATTTGCTACGGACAGAATCGGAAACAGCAGTAAGACTGAGAAAGGGTAACACAGAAATGAGCAAGTCATTAAGTCAAGTAGAATCACTGAATAGAGAACTGCAGGAAAGGTGCAGAGTTCTAGAAAGCGCAAAACTGCAGGTGGAGAAAGATTATTATCAACTGCAAGCAGCTTTGGAATCAGAACGAAGGGACAGAAGTCATGGATCTGAAATGATTGGAGAACTACAGGGTAAATCTTCTCTATAATTAGAAGTTGTAAGCCTGCTTATGAAGTACAATTACATGAAGAAGGGGAAAGCCAGTCTGTGAGCAGTGTGATTTAATAGAGTAATTCATGAAGATTTGATTGTGTCTGAGTGGCTCTTGGGAGGGAGGATATCAAAAAGAACATTCTGAGGGAAGCCGCTGATTATGGGGCAAAAAGTGCATTACCAGTAAAAGAATATGAAAAGCTGGTAGTGCTAGAGAAGACCCAACATTGCATTTTACCATCTTGGCACAACAGCCAAGTTGGCACACCTTTTAATTTGTTGTTAAATTTATGTTTTTCTTCTTATGTTTCTACATTACTTCATAAGTAAGATGAAAAGTATAGTTAGGAATACACATCTGAATGCTTGGAACTTTTTACCATGTATACTTGTGATTCTTAGTACTAGACTATTCAGATAATGTTGTTTCATGATTGTGACTGTGCTAGCAGAGCCTGCTTCCTAACTTGCCATTTTAATCCATCTGCTGGCAGCATTGAGAATCATTTCCCATGAGGCACAATCTTCTGCTTACTTGTATAGACTGGAGAGAGGTGTTGAGGGCTTTTTTCGGTTTTTAAGGTCAACCTTTTCTTTCTCTGGTACAGGTTAAGAAATACCAAGAACCATGCTGCCTAGTTACTGTGCTTCAAGTATAAAAAAGCTGCTTCAGTTTAATTAGTGTGCATTTCCTCTGAAATTATGGAGTGTAGTCTGGTGCAGCCTGTTATTAGTGCAAGCAAGAAGTACGAAATGGCTGAAGACTTCTGTGCACTTATAAATGTGCTCTTTGATTTCATCTAACTTGAGGGTTTGCAGGGAAGGGATCTTTATTCTGAAAGGTGTATGGATAAGGTATATGCAATAAGATATTTGCTGGTGACATGTGAATAACTTTGTGTATTTCGAACACTGACATGGCTGTTTTAAAAGCACATTTTGAATGCACAAAGATAACATTCAGGAAGACGTTCTTTTCTTCCATCTCATGCCTTTTCTTCCTGTACTTAAAAATTAAGTGAAATGTTCTGCACTGTTGCCAGTGCAGGAGCTAGTGCAAAATCTGCAGTCTAGAAATGCATACTATGAATTGCTATTCAGTGTATAAACTTCTAATGCCACATAGGGTCTTGTGGTAGATGCTAGGAAGAAATATTTAATCTGTTCTTGGAAGATTGCTCTAGTCAGTTAGGTGAATACGTACTGCATTAACACTGTATATCCATGTAAGGTTGCCTTTTGTTAATATGCCTTTTTTATGCTTTACTGGAGGTAACAGCAGAAAAGGTATTTGTTGTGTGGCACAAGCAGAATTAACATTAATGGAAAGAAATTTTGAAAAATAGGGAAGGCAGATACCAAGTTCTGCATGTGATTTTTTTTTCCCTTGGAATTGCTTTTAACAGTAACTAATAAGGTCAATTTCCTTTACAATGTGTGGTGTTTGTATATATGAAGAAGTTGGAAGTGTTTAATGGTCCCAAAAATCAGTGAAGGTTGAAAAGATTATCTTTTTAAGTTCAGTAACAAATACTGAATAATACTTATTTTTTGACAGTTCGGATTACAACTTTACAAGAAGAACTGAAAAACCTTAAAAATAATCTTGAAAGAGTGGAAGCAGAAAGAAAACAAGCTCAAGATAGGCTTAATCATTCAGAAAAGGTATGGTAAAATGATGTTGAGGCTAATGTTCTTTGACAGCTTTGATCATATTTTCAAATTAGCAATGTTACTGTTATGTCCTTGCTGTAAATCAGTCTGTTAAAAAGATAGACTAATTAGTGCTAACTAATTTATAGTCTCCTCAGAGTGGTAACTGTAACAAATCCTTAACTGTTCTCACTTGTAGCTTTAGGAGTATAATTCATGTTTGTCATGAATCAGTCAAGGATCCAGAGCTTCTGCCAATAGCAAGTAATTTTTATTCTGTTTGCCTAACCACTGCTGCAGAAACTTGCCTTCTAAAAATCTACAAATTGAAATTTTGTAAAATCTGTGATTTAAATTTCTAGTTTTTACTGGATTTTAATTTGGTAGGATCAATGCTGGGCCTTTTTAGTCAACTTAGAGCTGAGCCATTTGAGTTTTTCCTTCCTTCCCAGAGAACAGCAGCAACATGTTCCCCTAGCATCTCTGGTCCTTGCCCCAAGGTAGAGAAAAGAGAAGAAAAACAGTAAATCCTGCGTCATGTTTTCAGTTAGGCTGTGTAGTTAGTTCTCTGTTTTGATGTCAGATAAAGACTTGCAGTACTGTGTGGCCTATCCAAATAAAACAGAGAGATAATTACCTATGTGGGAAGCTGTAAGAAGTGATCTTTCTCACTTGGAAATGCATGAAGTAGTGATGGAAAGGCAAGTCCTGCCTCTCAGTGCCCATCTGCTGTGCTTGTTTTGTGAGTTACTGGTTAGGCACTGGGGCTCCTAATAATTAAATAGTGTAATTGCATGCAGGTGAGGGTAATAAAAATTCCTTTCTGCTCTACTGTTGTCAGTGGGATTGAGAAATGTTTCCAATTTAGGTGACTACTAGTCACACAAGTGGAGAGTTTTCATTATGTTATGAATTTACACAGTAATAAATAAAACTAATGAAGTTTTCTCCAGGGCACGGAGCCAAAATCGGTTGGCTTTCTTTATAAGTGTGCAACACTGATTATTTCTTTGTAACAAGATAACACTAAAAAAGAAAAAGGAGAAAGTATTTCCTCAGATACTATAGAACTACTATAGCTCTTTTTTTTTTTTCTCTTATATTTAGGAAAAGAATAATTTGGAGATAGATTTGAACTACAAACTCAAGTCTTTACAAGACCGCTTAGAACAGGAAGTAAATGAACACAAAGTGACTAAAGCTCGATTAACTGACAAACATCAGTCAATAGAGGAGGCAAAATCAGTTGCAATGTGCGGTAAGTCTAGTCTGCAAGTTTGGGATGGATAACTCATAGTATTTTGGTTACAATACCTTAAAATGCACAGTCTGATAATGTGGTACTCTTACACAAGTGTTTAATCCTTGATGTGAAAACAAAGAGTTCGGAATTGTTAAACATAATGAAAACGACAAATTTTAAAAGATTTTATTTAATGTGGTACCTGCATGGTAAGAAAATGTATTGCTTTTTAATGTTTTGATTAACTTACTGCTTTTGCAATTCAGAACCTTCTTTGGCTTCTAAAATGCCATTGAATCCTATAATGTTGGCTAATGTTAACTGGAATTGAAAGAACTTATTATCAAGACTGATCTCCTGGAGCATTCATTCCTGTGTAACTTTATTAAATACTGATGTTCTGTTAAGGTTGTCTAAAGTGTTTGAGTTTTTTGTATATGTCCATGAATGAAAGAGGTTTCATGTCATCCCAGTTGATTATAAGGTCTTTGTGAAGATTGTTGGAGTCTGCACATGTAGTTTGTAACTTTTCATAAAGCTTATCTGAATGGTACCATATCCTTTCTTTCCCTGTACTACCCATTCTTGGAAACTAAACTTTGTTTCTAACATTTCATAGTGATCACTTCAAGAGCCTGCATTTTGGATTTCACTTTCATTATTTACTTTCAGTTGTCATGATAATATTCTGATGCTTTGAATGCAAACTGAAATTAATATTTCTTAAAAAAAATATTGCTTGCAACAAAGCCAGGAAGTCTTTATGCACTAACCAGTTCATCTAATGTCAGAAGAGCCTGAATAGCTGAGCAGATAGGTCTGAAAAATATTAGGATATTTAAGACTGTGTTTATAAAAAGATTCTTGCAGATGCTACATATTCATTTCCATTGTTTTTCTTTCCTTAATCTTGTTTAGAAATGGAAAAAAAAGTAAAGGAAGAAAGAGCGGCAAGAGAAAAGGCAGAGAATCGAATAGTTCAGGCTGAAAAACAGTGTTCCATGCTAGATTTCGACCTGAAGCAGTCTCAGCAGAAACTGGAACACCTTCTTCAGCAAAAGGAAAGACTGGAGGATGAAGTAAGTAGAATGTTCGTTGCTAAGAATTTTCTTTATAAATAAGAAAATAAGAAGGGATAGTTGCAATGAGAAATAACATGTTTGGACTGAGATACTTGGAAATTTAGGGATATTTTCATATATTATATCATGTGTAGCATTTAGGTAGTACTGTTTGACAAGTAATCCATAAAGTAAGCTTTCAGCCTTATACAACTGGCTGTTCAGCAGACACTTCTAAACTGAAATAATTTCTCATTTAGGTAAAGAATCTGTCACTTCAGCTAGAGCAAGAGACAAATAAGCGAATAATGGCACAGAATGAATTAAAGGCGCAAGCTTTTGAAGCAGATAACTTGAAGGGTTCTGAGAAGCAACTGAAACAAGAAATCAATACGTTATTGGAAGCAAAAAGGTTACTGGAAGTTGAGTTGGCTCAACTTGCTAAGTAAGTGAAAATCTGAGGTAAAGTGGAAAAATTGTTTAATTATACATGTATTGTTTTATTCATTCCTATTAATTGAAGAAATATTCTGTGATACATTTTTTCCTAAACAAAGAATATTTTTAGCTGCATGTTATCGTTTCTATATGTAGCCTTCAGTGTTGGAATATTTTTGTTATCAGCTGTGATACAGAGTAAATCTCGGCTTGTTCAACATCAGGACATGGATGCTCTTTTTTGAGATTTGACTTCCTTAAGGATCAAATGTGATGGTATTTATTTAATTGTATGGAACTTATCTTATTACACAGAGGTCGACAACTTTTTCCTCTTTATCTACCTGATATCCTGTTTTTTACAACTCTTAATCTGACTGAATTGCTTCTTGTTAATCATGCTTCTATCGTAGCTTCCTTCAGCTGAAAGTAAGACTCAACAGTCAATATTTCTGTTTAGCATACCACTTTTATCCTAGTTTACATAGCTAAAGCCATCATCATTCAGTTAGAAGAAAGTATGTAATTAAATCACAAGACTAGGATGAAGCAAACTCTTCATCTTTGAAATAATACGTACACAAATATAAAATTATTTTTGACTACTCTTCTGGTTAGAACTAGCCTTTGTTATTGGTTATTAACTGGCTCACACAATTTCCATTTTTTTTTTCCTTCAAAGACAGTACAGAGGAAATGAAGGTCAAATGCGTGAGCTTCAGGATCAGCTTGAAGCAGAGCAGTATTTTTCGGTAAGCCTTGCAAAGAATTTTGAATGCTGTTTTTTTGTGTGAAACTGGCTAGTTGAATAGTTAGGCATATTTAAGTTTTTAAAATGTAAACAGCAATAACCTGACATAAATCAGCAGTTCACAAAATCTACTTGAGTTGCAAAAATGAACAATAAATTAGTGAACATTGATATGTTGTTTGTCTGTTTTATATGTTCCCTTTTAGTTGCTCGCTTGTCCAGTTTTCTGTTACAGTATAATGAACGACTCAATTATCTTAATTATTCAATTGAGTAGTTGCTTTGTTATCTGTTATGTTATTTGTTAGTTATCTTGATAGAGATATTTTTCTGACACATGCAAATTTCATGAAGAGCTCAAAATCTTAATATTTACTGGAACATATTCTGTGAAGTTGATCTACTATACACATGTATAAAAACCGTAGATCTGGTAGTATTTGGCACTTCTCCCTCATCTTTATAAAAAGATTGCATCTCTGCACCTCAGTCCCCAGACTGTATGGAAGAGCTTTATTGCATAGCCCACGGAGCCAATATGTGTATTTCATGGATTGAGTCTGGTCTGTTCCATTTCTGTGAACAGAAACAGTAAGATGAGAACTTCTGTAATGCCAAAACTTTAAATAATTTGTGATACATTTTACTTTCGGAAGGACTCTTTAAATTCAGTTCTTCCTTGGAGGAGCAGTAAAAAAATGTTGGTGTTTACCACAGTGCGTGTCACTGTGACTTTATCATACATTCCAGGCTTTTGTGCATTTCTACATAATGTACTGCCAATAGGGAAAAATCCAGTGTGTGGTGTTTTATTGTTTTTTTTTCACAAGCTTACAGTCTAAACAAAATACTGTTAATGCAGTCTGAAAACTTGGCCAAAATACTTTGCTGCAAATTTTAACGTACTGAATTATTGATGTTGTTAATACAGTGATTAAGAACAAAAGTCGTTCACACAGTCAAGACCTCTGTTGGATTAGTTAAGACAAAATCAATCTGTATATAAAATTTGCAGTCTAAGAGCATGGATACAAACAGAATACAACAGATGAAAGTGTAGGACAGGATTAAGCTTCAGTTTGACTGATGTTTTGGGGCAGTGATGCTAGAGGAGGATGCAGTTTGGTGCCATTGTCTCCAAGAAGGCTGCTTGCCCAAGCACCATCCTGCCAGTTTGTCAGTGGATGTGGTTGTACAATTATGTAGAAAGCCAGACTAGAAAAATGAAAACTAACCCAATCACAGCATTTCCCAACGCGAGAGTAACTGGAAGGGAGCATACTGGGCAGGAGTGGAAGAGAGGATTATTATTAAAGCTAGTATTGTCATTTGTTGGTTTGACAAATTAAAACCATCCATCCAGGTACCAAAACCATGAGGAATTACAGTATGGAATTTGAATAATGATTCTTTTATTTTTATGCTTTCTTTTACAGACACTTTACAAAACTCAGGTTAAGGAACTGAAGGAAGAAATTGATGAAAAGAATAAAGAAACTCAAAGAAAAATGCAGGAATTGCAAAATGAGAAGTATGCCCTTTGTTTCTGTCAATATTTTTAAATTCTGAAGATTAGAATCAGATGTGAAATATTTAGTTCTTTCAAAAGCAGACAGGCTTCAGAACTGTTCTGTAACACTCTGCAAGATGGCAAATACACACGATATTGCCTATGCTGACAATAAATATGATAAATATGATAAATTCATATTTAAATTCAGATAAATATGGCAATTCATATTTGTATGGATTTGAAGCATAACGGCTGGAAGAAGAGTGCTGACTTCTAGGAATTTTGGAGGATGTAAAATTTAGGAAAAAATATTCCAGTCTCTACTTATTGTCCTTTTGTTTGTGAAACTGTTTTGATTTGATTACTACGCCATCCTCATTAGTATTTAATGTATTTCTATCTGCAAGAGGATAATTTAAGGAAAAAATAATGAAAATACTTTGAATTCTGACTTTAGCGTACTCCGATTACTTAAAACCAAACCAGCTATGCTAATTCAACATTTTGTTAGTTGTGATACACTGTCTTCAAAGTTAGAAAATGAGTAAAGAATTATCCTAAGCTTTTTTTTCCAATTTATTAATTTACCGAATATCTGTTCATTCTGAGGAAGGGGATTTAGCCTCACCCACACAATGGAATTTCTCCTACTGCGCTTTAGCATTAGCATTTCTAAGCAATCTAAAAGGAGAATGTTTTTGCAGTGTAAGTGATGTGTTTTCATCAGATAAGAAAGGAAGAAAACAAGGATGTGGTAATAAATACAGTATAAGAGTAGAATATGTATCTTTGCAAAGTTGTCAGGAATAGTATCCAACTTAAAAACAAGCAAACAAAATAAAAGAGAAGGAGAGACTTCAGTCCTTCCATCACCTGCTTTCATGGATTCGATTTATTCCCTCTCTCTACATCACAATCCTGTGTTTGCTACAGATGTTTTTTATGTGTTTATAAATGGGATTAAAGACAAACTCTAAATATATTTTGATAGTTACCTTTCATAGAGAGGCCCACATCTGCTACAGTTGTTTCACATCAGTGGATTCCATAGCAATTTTTTCTTCACAGCATAAATGACATTTTGCAGTGTAGGAAAGACCTCTGTTCTGAAGCCCACACTGCAGCAGTGTATTGCTGCCTTTATCTTCCTCCCACAGTGTGAGCCATGTCACCTGTTGCTGGGTACCTTTGACTCCTGGGTGCTAGACTGGCTTGACATAGGTTTCCTTGCAAGCGCATATGAGTGCTCTGCCTGTACTCCTAGCGAGAGCAGGACAGTTTAGCTTGCATGCCAAACTGCCTGTCAAGCGGTAGACAGAATTTGCAACTCTTCATGCCAAAACCTCCTTAGAACCACTGTACATTTTCAGAAATGTTATGTAGTTTTATTGCTCAAACAGCTGAGTGCACATGAGCAGTAATCCTGTGTGAAGTGTCAGCTGATACAGGTATTATTCCTCAAAGACAGGATAATGTGAGACTTCAATTCCAAAGGGTTGTTTTTTTGTGGATGACTGATAGTTGAACTGTAGTAAGCTGACTGCTGTAGCTTTTTGTTCATCAAAGTATAACATGCACACAGAGTTCTGTTTTAAAATCAAATTTTTAGGTAACTAAGATAATGATAACTAACTGAACAGTATAATTTGCATTTGTTTGTTTTTCCTGAAAATATGGAATGTTTTGCATAGAAAAGCAAAATCTGAATGTCCTTTTTACAGAGAAACACTCACTACACAGCTGGATTTAGCTGAAACCAAAGCTGAGTCGGAACAGTTGGCACGGGCACTTCTTGAAGAGCAGTATTTTGAATTGAGTCAGGAGAGCAAAAAAGCAGCATCACGACATAGGCAAGAAATGACAGATAAGGACAGCATCATAAGAAGGGTAAATTACATGACTAAATAGTACCTAAATATATCATCCAACTGGAAAAATCTTTTTATTTTAATTTGTAATGTCCTGTGGGCATAATTAATGACTATTTAAGTATCTGAGCTTTGAACTCAGACAATTAAAACATTTAAATCCCATCGTCTGAACTAACAAAGAAATGTAGACGGTGAGAATCTGAGATGAGCTCATACTGTACATGAAGCCAATGTCTGTAATTCAGTTATTAAGCTTTTTCCAGCCGATTCCTGTCATTGCTCAATGTGTGTAAGTTTTTTGAAAAACTTTAGATGGTGTACTGTAGAATCTTACTGTAAAACTGCTTAATCTTAAAAATATGTATATATACCTGGAAATCTTGAGATTTTTCCCTCTGCTAAACCATTTATTTAAAAGAACCCCTTCTCACTCCCCTTGCAGTTTTTGAAAATACTTTATAGCATAGCTGTTGAGTATTAATATCATGCTTATAAATGTCTGTAACTGAATTTTCAAGTAGCAATCTGTGTGTGTGTGTGTGTGCACGTATATATATATACACACACACACACACACACATATATATATGTATTTATACAGCATTGCTATTCTGTCACCACTGTCCCCTTTGTCAGTATGCAGATACTCTTAAGAGTCCTGGGATTGGAAAAGTGGCTGTTCATCTTGGATCAGTTACTGAAAGTTTTCTCCTAGCATTGCTACATGTTAGATCTCTATAAGAAGGCAGTAAAAGTAATACTAACTGCACCTACAGTCTGTGCCCTGTTAAGAGCTCTGACTTTCCAAAACTGAACAATTTCTTAAAAACTGTTTAGAGTGTGTTAGCAGGGCATAGAAATAGTACCTTCTTGTCAGTATTCTTCCTGGTTTCAAATACTCTGATTATGCTTTTAACATATACTCGTTAAGTAGCTAGCAAAGTGATCTTGATTGTGCCTTCTGGCAGTTAACATATTCAAAGCATAATGGTTTTTCTTTACAGTTGCTTTTTTTTTTTTTTTTTTTTGCAAACCTGTTTGAATATTTACCTCTATATACTTTGACTCAGACAAAATTTAGTTTTGTTTTCGTACTGACTTTTGCCTGTTTTTCATTATAAACATCAGTTATTTAGCAACTGGTTCATTGAATCTTCTCTGGCCTTGAATGCAGGAATTCTATCATCTGTCTGCTGCTTTTCTTTCTAGATCCATTGGATCTGCCCTCTGGATACTGTTTTTTCTGAAGTGCCACAAAATTAATTGTGAACCACCACATTCAATGACTGCAATCTATTTTTGACTGAATTTTTAATTGTATGCTAGAGTATTTTCAGTTTTGTAAAGAGGATTTTTAAAAAGATGCTTTGTGAGACCAGTTGTATTCTAGAACCTTCTGGTATGTCAAGGCAACTTAGAAAAAATGTATCATTTTTATAGTTCAATTTTGAAAGGTAAGCAATTTTCTTTAATGCACACTTGAAGACATCCCAAGTAAGAGGCTGCTACAGATTAAGGATATTTAAGAAAATAATCTTATAAATATGACAATATCTCTGTCGTAAAATGTATTTGTTTTCATTTAGCTGGAAGAAACTAACAGCACGTTAACCAAAGATGTTGATCTAATAACAAAAGAAAATTCAGAGATCAGTGAAAAAATGAAGAAACAGGAGGAAGGTATGTCATCTTAAATTAGGAGTCTTCAATTAGTTGTAATGAAGCACAAATGAATTTGAAGCACGGGTGAAAATGAAAATGGGAAATTCCTGTATGTCCTCCATAGTGGTGAAGTGACTTGATGGGAAATGTGTCATCTTGAAATTACATGTGAATTGCTACTCTACCGTATTTGTTCCATTCCCATATGCTGCCTTTCTGTTGTTAAGAACAATTAAAATCTCAGTTTCAGCAGGCAGAAATAAGTGAGCTGCTGCCTCTGCTTGCCTCAGTTTTTAAAGCAAGTTAGAATGCAGGTTTCTGCAGGCATTATCAGGAATGCCTGCCTGGTACAGCTCTTCCTTACCCTGTCTGTCCAACTTCTTTCTGCCAGCCCTACCTCAAGTGAATGAAAAGTGTTAAGGAAAAGTGGTGTTTCACTCATTTCACCTTGCATGCAGTGTACTTAATGAAGTGTTCCATTCTGTCTCAGTAAGACAGCATCGATACTTCATCTTCCTTAAGACAGCTTTTAATTTAGAATTATGCTCTTATTGGTGGATTTGCATTCTAATTCCTTGCATTCAGAATAAGTGGAAAATACACTGTTGAAGCTGCTTGTGATTCTGCATTTGAGCAAGGAACGTGTAATCAGAACATGTATTTTAGTATCTGTTAACTGTAAGAGGAAAGACCTTACCAGTTGAGATGCCAATGGTGTTTTAAACACTATGTAAGCAGGAATATTTTCCTTTTATTCTGCATTTCTATAAGAGCAGGGATTTCACAGGGACTGGACGAGAAAATTTTCAGTTTATATATATATATGTTAGTTTTATCATGTTTGTTAGTTTTAAGTATTTGAAAATTATTCATTAAGTGCTTGTATCTTTGATGAAAGAATTCTTATCAGTAAAATGCTTAGAAACGCTGAGAAAAATCAGGAGATTGCAGGTGGGATAGATAGGTTGTTTATAGTATTTCATCTTGGTGCCATCAGTAAATAGGATTAGTAGCACAAGACCAGTAACATTTATCATTTTTTAGGTGATGCAATAGGAATAAGGGGAAATAGAATGGTACAGTTTTATGTGATTAAGCTTAGGAATACTTACCTTGTCCTAAAATCTCAAAGTTGAATCTTACTTTAACAGAATATAAGCTGAAAAAAGAGGAAGAAATTAACAATATTAGAATGCAATATGAGAAGAGTATCAACAATGAGAGAACTCTGAAGACACAGGTATAAGTCTTACGTAACTGAATAAAGTAAAAATGATGTTGCATGTCAGATATATTTCAACTTTTTTTGTTGTTGTTGTTTTTTTGGTGCAACTAGTTCTTAGTGCCTGGGATTTGTTAATTTAATGAATTTAATTTAATTTAATTTAATCACAGAATCACAGGGTTGGAAGGGACCTCAAGGATCATGAATCTCCAACCCCCCTGCCACATGCAGGACCACCAACCTTCACATTTAATACCAGACCAGGCTGCCCAGGGCCCCATCCAACCTGGCCTTGAACAACTCCAAGAACGGGGCATCCACAACCTCTCTGGGCAGCCTGTTCCGGTACCTCACCACTCTCTCTGTAAAGAATTTCCCCCTGACATCCAACCCAAATCTCCCCTCCCTCAACTTAAAACCATTTCCCCTTGTCCTACACATATCAACCCTTTCAAAAAGTTGATTCCCCTCCTCGTTGTAGGTTCCCTTTTAGGTATTGAAATGCTGCAATGAGGTCACCCCGCAGCTTTCTTTTCTCCAGGCTGAACAAGCCCAGCTCCCTCAGCCTGTGCTCACAGGGGAGGTGCTCCAGTCCTCTGATCATCCTAGAGGCCCTCCTCTGGACCCTTTCCAACAGCTCCCTGTCTTCTTTTGTACTGGGGGCTCCACACTTGGACGCAGTATTCCAGATAGGGCCTCACAAAAGCAGAGTAGAGGGGGCAATCACTTCCCTGTCCCTGCTGGCCACCTCTCTTTTGATGGAGTCCAGGATGCCATTTGCCTTCCGAGCCGCAACAGCACACTGCTGGCTCATGTTAAGTTTTTTATCTATCAAGACCCCCTTCTTCACAAGGCTGCTCTCAAGGACTGCTCCTTCCAGTCTGAATGGATGCCTGGGATTCCTCCAGCCCAAGTGCTAATCATAATGTATAGTACTGATATTTAGAGTTTAAATAAAATTGATTATGAGGGCTTTTCAGAATTATTACTAGTATAGTAAGGTCCATTAATACTGGTGAAGTATTTTTCAGGGGCTAGAGATTACTTTTTCAGTACCAACTACATTGCAGTGGTATTGGGAAGTCTACACTTTTTAAAGACAGGTGGAGATGATTGGAGAAGTTGGAATGGGGTGAGAGTTTATCTTTTTCAAGCTCTTATCTCCATTTTTGCTATTTGAATTGGGTGTTGGTGTGAGAAATACAGTAACCGAGGTACACATTTTAATGTATCCCTAGGGGTATGTTTTCAGTTTTGGAATTAATTACAATGATTTATTGAAGTACACCTCTCCCATTCTGTTCTTAGATCATGAAGACTTGCACATTTTTGCTAATCCTCCAACTAGATAAACTTGGAAGGTTTACGTGACACTTGCTTTCATACATAACTTTTCCAACTTATCTGTTTCTTGTAACAGGCTGTCAACAAACTGGCTGAGATCATGAATAGAAAAGATTTTAAAATAGATAGAAAGAAAGCAAGCATGCAAGATTTGAGGAAGAAAGACAAGGAAAACCGAAAGCTACAACTGGAGCTTAATCAAGAAAAAGAGAAATTCAATCAGATGGTAGTGAAATACCAGAAGGAGCTTAATGAAATGCAAGCGGTAAAATGATCTTCATTTTTGTCACATTATGAAGCTCTGCCCAGGGAAAACGTGCAGCTCTTAGTGCACTTGAGAAAAGGAGTTCTGTTCCTGATGTACTAGACTAGAATTTTAGTGCAGCTGTGTTGTTCTCATTCATTTTCTTTTCTCAGTTGGTAACTGTGGGAGAGACTGGTACATTATGAAAACTGAATATTGCTTAGTATGTTATTCATATGGTTTTTCTCTGGAAGATTAAATTTTTTGTTATAAGTTCTACTAACATTTTCTACTTCAATGTATTGCTTTGTCTGTGATATTTAGCCTTTTTTCCTAGACTTTAGGAACATTTTTATTATAATAATTTATGTCAATGCTATCAAAAGTGTCTAGAGATTTTGGGGCAAAAAGAAGTAGTAAGGTTTTGTTTTTAAATACTTTGCTCCCATATTTTTGATACCTTGGTGATGATGTATGTGTATACAAATACAGCAACTAGCAGAAGAATCAACATATAGGAATGAGCTACAGATGCAGCTGGATAGTAAAGAGAGTGACATAGAACAACTACGAAGGAAAATTTTGGATCTCCAGCAAGGAATGGATTCCACCAGCGTTTCTAGTCTACAGCCAGATGAAATTGATGGAAATCTTTCAGGTAAGAGGAAAATGTCTTTGAAGTAGTTGTTTTCTGTGCATATACACAATTTTGGAAGGTCCGTTCTTCCAGTCTTTCAAATAGGTCACTACCTTCTTGAAAATACCTTGTGACTATCTTTCTGTGTCACGTTTCTACTTGTATTTTTTGAATTTATTTTTCAGTTTCATGGCTCAGCTGCTCACACTTAGTCTTCTAAGTACTTTACGGCACAGTATTACCTTAACTTTCCACTTTTGTGGAAGGAATATAGCTGTCACTGCTGTTTGAACATAGTAACTACAATTTGCAGTGTAGAGTGAATCCAGTAGCGGGCCAGCGTATTTCCATAGTGCATTTTATATCTTGAGTGTAAACTTGCCTTGATCTTGTTTGTTAGTCATGTAGCATTTTTCTGGTGGCAACAGTTGTCTGTGCAGAAGGGAAAAAAACAACCCACCAAACTGTAGAAATTTCTATAATGCATAGCAGAGTATGGTATTCTGATTCAACAGTTTAGAAGAATATCAAATGTAAGCTGGTGATTCCCATATAGCTTCAGTTGCAGACATTGTATTTGGAGGCCCACTGTTAACACTGGTGATTTCCCACCCCTCAATATTTGCAGTGTGTAATCAGTATGTTCACGTTTCTATATCCCTAGATAGGGATAGTAATAATCAGCACTTTCTCCACCATTTTCAGCAAAATGGCTGTTTTGTAATGTACTGAAAAAAAAACAAACCCTCATCGCTTGCCTCCATCTGGTAACATCTTCTCTATTTCCTTAAAATTAATATTAAGTCAGTGTGACACTCTGCTAGATCTGGGGAAGTTTATAGCAGTTTATAGCTCTTTCTTTGTCTGCTTCACGCTATGGTATGTTGTTTCCAGTTTTCCCTTTGCAATTGTGCATTTTTAAGTATCTGTCCAAACTGACACTTTGAATTTGGGGGCAGAAATTTACTTAGCTGTAACAAATCAGCTATAATTTTATCACTGTTAATTAAAATAGCATGATTACTGGAACTTCTTACAGTCTTTCCCTTTGTCTTCTTTACTCCTCAATTTCTACTTTACCAACCTTTCACTTCCCTTCATTTTTTGCCCTCTTCTTTCCACATGCCTCTTACTTTTACTGCAGTTGTGCTTCTGATGTTAGTATTTCATACAGGTAGGACCACTAATATTATGTTATTAGGACATCTCATGTATGTTTTTAAAATATGTTTTGATTTTGTCCTTAGAATGTGTTGGGTTTTTTTGTTTGTTTGAGTGAGGCTCTAAGTTTATCAGAATTTGAATAAGAAGCAATTGAGGTAATTTAAGGAGATTGTGATGTTAGTGTGATCATATTTCACACTTTTGTGAGTTAAGTAGAGAGCACAGAAGAACTAAACTAGCGTTCAACTAGCATTTAACTTAGCATTGTAAGCAGGAAAAGAAAGCCAGTCTTTAAAGTGTACATACCCCATGCCATAAAAGAGGAAATAACAGAATCATAGGTTAAGGCTGGAAGAGACCTCTGGAGGTCATGTGGTCAAGCTCCTGCTCAAATGAGGACACTGAGAGCAAGTTGGCCATCATCCATCACCATGTCCAGGTGACTTCTGAACATTCCAGGGAGGAAACTCCACAGCCTTGGTGTCCACTTGGATCCCCAAGTTCTGCCCTCCTCTATGTCCTGGTGTGTGAGGTTGTTCCTGCCCAGGTGTAGGACTCTACTCTTCTCCTTTTTAACTTCATGAGATTCTTGTCAGCCCTGGATGGCTTTGTCCCTTTGGTGAGTCAGTCACTCCACACTGATTTGGATCCACTCCAAAAGTATCAAAAGTATCCATCCAAAAGTACCAAAGACAGATACTCCACTCAATGAACAAACTGTATTGTGGAGTAAAGATGTCAAGAAGAAGTGGAGCTGGGATCTTCTGCTTGTTACTGGCCTTCAACTAGACTCATGTTTCAGTTAGTGTCTCCAGTGTTAGAATCCTTGGTGAAGCAGCTGGAATAATGTGCATTTCAGTTATGCCTTTAGAATGCCTCTTCCTCCTGGCTAGGCTTACCAAGCCTCAATACTTGTAAAAAGTTTTGCAGAGCCAAAATTCAAGCATGAACTTCAAGGGTTTTTTCCTAACAATTATGGGACACTTTAACCTGTTCTGAATTGGTTGTTTTCATCCGAATTGCAATATCATAGAATCGTAGAATTGTTTGAATTGGAAGGGAGCTGTAAAGGTCATCTAGCCCAACTCCCCTGCAATGAACAGGGACTCCGGCAGTTCAGTCAGGTTGCTCAGATTCCTGTCGAGATTGACCTTGAGTGTCTGCAAGGACAGGGCATCTACCACATCTATGGGCAACCTGTTCAGAGGTTCAGATAACTTAAAGCTGAGTCGTCTGGCAGTTTTAACTGAAGGAATATTTTGATGCATATTATTAGATGGTATTTTACACAGACAGAATAGAGCAATGAACATGAACCACCTCAGACAACAGTTTTTTGGAATACAGGACACAGCTATGACTTCTTGAAATCTTCCTACAGGTAGCTATCAAAGTCTGATCCAGCTGTCTTGGTGAGGTTTAAATGAAAATGTGGTAAAAAATCAAATGGGAAGGGCTGGTTGGAAGGAGTTAGTGAGAGAGTAATCTTTCACTTCGTTGTTATGGGTGGAGTTTGAGGAGCAGGAATTTGTTAACATGGACAAAATACTGTATTGCTCCTGAAGGCACCTGTATTACTCAGCTCAAAACCTGCAAAAGCTCATGAATCACTACTAGCAGTTGTTGTCTTCTCTAATTCTAACTTAGTGTTAGAACTCCTGTTTATCATCCTGAGTCACTATTGTGGCAATATGAATATTAGCCATGAAGATGTTTAAAATGCAAATCCATCTTCTAATATGCATTGAGAGAGAAGTGTAAGAGTTATAGTTTTCACAGATGTTTTTTCTTCATATTCTGTTTGGGTCCAGCTGGCCATCAGGTATTTTCAAGGTCTAACTCCTTCCTGTTGCTTTTTAGAGACAAAGTTGGAAAAATCTTTTTCATAGTCTGGGTAGCTCATATTTTCTTAATTACTTAATCAGAACACTCATAAATATTATTCGTCTGGATCAGATATTGGCAAAATGTCCAGATGGGCATTTGCAGTTGTTAGCTAACTCTGTCAAGGAAAATCAAAAAGCACTGTAAATATTACTCAAGATGAGCATTTGTGGCAAGGCTGGAACAAGAATAGCTCATCTGCCCTTTCACGAGTACATTTAGTTCCAGTCTCATGTTAGCTGTTGCTGAAAAGGAGCACATTCAGAAAATATTTTTGACTGCAATATGATATTCACAGTTCAGAAATTCTCTCTCATTCAAATAGTATTTGCTCACTAGAATAGATTTATAGTAGGCAGAAAAGAATGTCAACCAATTCACTTGTAATAACATACCCACTTTCTACTGCATGTGAAATTTCTTCCAGGATGTACTGAAATAGAAGTGAGCTTAGGAAAATATTCCTCCTCATGGTATCTGTATAAACAACGTAGTACCTGATGCTTCTTTAAAATCTGTCATTATGGGATCTTTCCAAATTTTCATAGGGCACAATTACCCAAAATGTGCAGTGTTCCTTTAGAACCACTGTAGTATGTTCATTAGCAGCAGGTAATCAGGTTGGTTTGGTTTTTCTTTCTTTTTCTTCAAAAGGGGACTTCACCTTTAGCATATTTCTAAAATGCTAAAAGCAGAAATTAAATTGTCAAGGACCAAATACTCAACATAAGGTGAGCATTAGCTGTGATGCCTACAGACAGTATGTTTCCATTTCTAAAGCCATGGATTATTAAGACCTGGGAGGAGGGGAGGAGGAGAGGGGGCCTCTCAGGTCCTCAATGCAAGTCTTACACGGGTAGAAGAGGCAGAAAAGTCTTAATTGTTCAAGGCAGATTTCTGGTTGGAAAGGGTTCTGCTTTTCTCCAGATAGGATTTGAGCAGTTCACTGTCCCCACCCAGTATTTTGAGACTTTTCTGTAGTCTGCTGAGAAATGATAAAGGCATGATTCTGTCTTATTTCTTTATTGTAGTCCACTTTTAAATATTGCATGCTGTAGGAATAATGTTGGAAAGCTGTGTTTGTTCCATACCTAGTTTTAATGCCAGGTGGGGCTGTCAGTCAGGCAGACTTGTTTTTCTTGTGACCTTTCTCTGTAGAATTGTTAAATTGCTAATTTCATGATAGCAAAATATAAGATTTTAAAGTAATTTTTGAAAAGCTCTCCACTGAAAATCTGAATAAAATGCTTGTCTTTTATTCCTGATATCTAGTTGATTCTTCCTGCATTCCTTATTTATTTATCTCCTATGCTTATCTTCTGTGAGTAATGGAACACCTGTGTAGCTTTGCTTGCTCTTGTGCACTCTTCTTTTTGTTTCCCTTGGGAAATGTGGATCTGATTTACTTGCTGCATTTTCCTGCTGAATATTTTCATGTAGACCCTGTGAGTGTTAAATGGTATTTACACTGAAAATTTCTGAATCATCCTCCGTTTGAGCTGTAACACACTTCCAAAGCCAAGTCTTTTCTGTGGCCTGACCCTCTGCAAACAATGTACATTGTGTTTAAATGTCGACATCTAGGAAAGCAGCTTCACTTTATTCTGCAGTAACTGTGTGATAAAGTGTTAGCTTGTGATGGAGCATGAAATAAATGCTTATATCTTCCTTTTATTCAGCTGTGCTTTTTATTCTGCTTTGCTGAATTGGTAATTGCCTATTACTGCATGTAGTACATTTTCCTTTCTAGTAATAGTTTGCTTTGTGTTATTTTGCTTTACTATATATAATTAATATAAATAATAACATAAATATATACAGTTACTTACTGGTTTTTGTTTTTTTTTAAACTAGAATCAAGGCTTGAAGGTTGGCTTTCAATACCAAACAAGGGAAATATAAAGCGGCACGGTTGGAAGAAACAGGTACAGATGGATTTCTTTTTTTCTTCCCTAACTCCCTTGAAAAATGCTGTTGTTGTTGTTTTGTTTTGTTTTTAGGCATGCAGTAAGGGTGGAATTGGTTTTACAGCTCATATTTAAGAAGCAAAAAAAGTAATGAGAGTATTCCAGCGTGTATATACTGCATATATAAAGAAAGTGATGTAGCAGAAAAACAGATATGCAAGATGTATCGGAAATTTTGTTTGATATCTAAGGCTGTCTGACTTTTATTGTTCTAGAATTGATTTATCCAGCTTGCTGTCAGACTTTTGGCATTCCTTTGGCACAAAACACATTACTTCATTCTGTTCTTAATTACCTAAAATATTACATCCTTTTTCTGTTGGAATATATCTTACAGACATCTCTACATGTCTTCTAGAATATTCGTTCACCCTTGGATGATTAAATTTATAAACTTGAGATAAACTCAGCTTCTCCACTAAAAGACTCGAACTTCTTCAGGCATGCAAGATATTGCAGTCAGTTACTCCATTGATGCTCCTCTAGTTTAAAAAATAGGTCCTGCACTTTGAGGACATTTGAGCTGTAGGTGGTTGCCTCTGTAAAACAAATTATGCTGACAGGATTTGTTAAGCTGAGTTTCAAGATGCTGAATGAGGGGCTGTATTGACTGGAGTGTGTATTTTCTTGGCTGAACTACACTGCATCTGAAACAGTGTCAGCAGTGTGATAACTGAATTCTATTGTAATCAGAATTTGCATTTGTTAGCAGTAGTCATTTTAAGGCTGTTCTCTTACTGTGAAAGGCAGAGTTGTATACTTCAAAGGCAAAAAAGGCATCAGCTTTCTGTTGAAGTAGATCAAAAGAGTACAAGCACAGATGTTTTCTGTGTTGGGGCAGATTGCAAGAGGCTTGCACCATGAAGACTTAGCAGTTAGTCACCTTGATCAGGCTTTGTATTAAAGACTTCTGACTGAGGGCTTGAGATCAGTAGTCGAGATGTGCTCAGCTGAAATGTGCAGCTTGAGGAACACGTGTCAAACACTTTCCTATGAACTTGCTAAGGTCACTTTCATATTCAGATTGTGAAGTCAGACTCATTCCTGTGTAATGAGGAAACTCCTCTTGTAAGGAGGAGTGATCAGCATTTACAGAACAGTCAGTACTGCTGTCATGCAGAAACTCATTCAATTACCTACCAGTAACTGGAATTCAAGATGAATTGTTTGTGTATTCTCTTATTTCCCCTTACTTTTGAGTTGTATTATACTAGAATGTGGAGATGAATATGGTTGGACCAGTCTTTTAGATCCTTTTTTTTATACATATACCTTTAATATATTCTAAAATGCTTGAAACTACAGGGGAGGGGACTGCCACGGTGATGGTTGAGCTTGTGCTTATGGGCAGTCGTAGCAAAGACGTTGGACTGGCAGGTCCTAGTGAAGAGCGACAAGCAGTGAATGCTACAGATCTGAGCTCACTGGGAAGTGCTTAGGTTAGAGGTATTTGACCTTTACTCACTTGTAGGGTTACAAAACTTGTTTTCTCTGGGCAGCGTGCTTTGTCATTCCTGTCATCTGAACTAGTTTTTATAATTCTGTGTGATTAGGAGCAGCACTGGGAAGGTGTCTGTGTGCTTTAAATTGAGGACAATATGAATGGGCTTTTGGGGGTGGCAGGCATACTGGGGGAAAGAGGAAAGAGGAATGCTGCAAAACAATGTTCATTTCTCTTCCTCTGCAAACTTTTCCTTTACTGTTTCAGTTTATTCCTAGATCTGGAATGTATATCAGACTATCATCTGTTCACTCTTACTGCTGCTTTACTTTTGCTCCTTGTTGTTTTAGTCCATTAGATAGGAAGTAGATTCTGAGCTCAGTTGCTAACTCCTTCAGGCTACCAATTGTTTGGTGCAAAGCAGCAGTTAGTCCTGCAGGTCTCTGGACTACACGAGGTGTTTGCAGCGTATCAACAAGTGATACTCTGCATTCTAGGAGCTGCTCAGGATTGCAATAATTTTTCATATCAACTTTGCAGTCTCAAGTGAAATTTGAGTTCTGTGTGGATAGACTCCCAAAGTCATTAAGGACACTGTGGAGTTCTGCCATGGCAGTACACAATCACTGTGGCTGTAGTGTTGCTCAGCTGTCAGAAGTATCTCTGGCGAGGACTTAAATATCTCTTCATACTAGCTGAAAAGACAGTTAAAAAAAAAAAAAAAAAAAAAAAAAAAGGTTTTTCATGTTCTTAGGAAAACACAACTGGATAAATGTTTCTTTTTAGCATTCAATTTTAGCTTGTTTTTACCTTTTCTCTTCCCAGTACGTTGTGGTGAGCAGTAAAAAGATACTGTTCTATAATGATGAAAAGGACAAGGACCAGTCTAATCCATCCATGGTACTAGACATAGAGTAAGTACAGTTACTGTTAGCTTTGTGTTGACAAGAGAGCACTGTGTTCAAGCTGATAAGAGATCTGTCATCTTGGAATCAAAATTCCATAAATAATTTTGAATTTCCTGTACTAATTGGAAAATGTATTTCAGGATGCTGTTGTCTTTAATGGAAGATCCTGTGTTTTAGGGGTTTTTTGTATTGCTATGGCTAAAAACTGAATCACAGGATAGTGTGGGTCTTTCTGCATTCACTGGTCTATTTTTGCAGAAGAGATGAGGCTTATTATGACAGAGACAGAAACAGTGGAACCTGCCTGTTCTTTTTCTTTTTGTGACTTGGTGTTACCTTTTTATCTGTGCTGGTTGAAGTATGGGATGGGTGGTAAGTTGTGGCACAGCCCCCCGATATTTTAATGACTGGTTTGTCCTGTTACTTCAAATAGCTGTTTTCTAATGCAGGTTGTGATATCATGGGGCACACCAAAGTAAGGTACAGGCTCTCTGGTTTTAGGTCTCATCCCTTTGCCTCATAACTTGTTCTTGCAGTCTGAGAAGGGATTGGTGTTGACCAAGCTCAAAACATTTCTAAATTTTCCAGACAATTTCTATTAAAGAGGAACAGTAAATAGTTTCCCCTGTATGTTGGTTGTACGTAAGGAAGGATGTTTCATCACTGAAACCCATCACTCTTACATGACTGGCTATGACGTTTGAACAGCTGAATGTTACAGAACCTCATAGAGTAGTAATTGGAAGAAGGCTTTAAAATGCATGAAGCAGTCTACCAGTGACTAAGAATATAAGGGTCAGGAAGGAATCACCAAATCAGGGTGCGCTTAAGCTGCCATTTGCTTGTGAACAGGACAAACCATTATTTTCTCTTTGAGCTGTTTCTTATTCTCTTTTCATAAATGTCTGTTATGGCTATTGTTGAAAAGAGAATGTTGGGCTGGATAGACCTTAGATCTTCGTCCATTGTGGGATGACATTTGTTTCAGTTTTAACAGTATTTTCAACACTTTGTGCCCCAGATTGATCTTTATGATCTTCTGGCATTGATTGCTTCTCAATCGATAACATGACAAAGGGGAAAAAAACCCAACAACAAACTGTACTTCCATCCAGGGTTATCAGTATGCTTTTTTAGTAATAGTACAGATTTTGGAGTGTTCTAAGAAAGAATTGGAAAGCCTTTTTCACAGCTAAGTTTGCCACAGTGTGTCTTGAACCAGTTGTAACATCATCCTCTTTTCATGCTATGAAATGTTTTGGTTTTACTTGGGTAAGACCAACTAACTGTACTAGGCAAGATCTATAAGGTATTAGTGAATTCCTAAAACTGTATTGCAGCCTTGAAGTATGTAATTTTGCTTGTATAAACAAGATTTGGAAGAACTTGAAAGCAATTTTATTATAGTCACATTTTCTGTTTGGTCTTTCTTTTAATCTAGTAAGCTGTTCCATGTCCGACCTGTAACTCAAGGAGATGTATATAGAGCAGAAACTGAAGAAATTCCTAAAATATTCCAGGTAAAAAGGAAGTGAATTGTCATTCCTGTTTCAGTTCTTTTCAAGAAAACATTTGGTGATTTTTAGAAACTGTATAGAAATATTTAGTGCTTCAACAGTAACATGCAGTATTCCTTTTTCAGATTTTGTATGCTAATGAGGGGGAATGCAGGAAGGATGTGGAGGTAGAGTCAGTCCAGCCTGCAGAGAAGACAAACTTCCTAAATCATAAAGGCCATGAATTTATTCCAACAATATACCACTTTCCAGCCAACTGCGAGGCCTGTGCCAAACCTCTTTGGCATGTCTTCAAGCCCCCGGCTGCCCTGGAATGTCGAAGATGCCATGTGAAGTGCCATAGAGACCACTTGGATAAAAAGGAGGAGTTAATTGCACCATGCAAAGGTATCAGTACTGCTTATGAAGAGGCAGCTTTGAGAAAGTCTTTGCAGGGAGGCCTTTGGTGTAACTAATGTGGCTCAGCTGTGAGAGCACAAGGGCTTTTGCCCAGATGCTGGTCCACTAACCAGAATGGTTCCTGAACCATTCTTTCTGTCAGCTGATACTTGGCTGAGTTGGGGACAATGCAGTGACCACATCACCAAGCTGTGCTGAGACCTTTGAAGAGTGGTTCTTCAGCCACTTCACAGACTGGGGTCAAAGTTTCCTCTCTGTGCTCCTGTGAAATGGAGTATTTGGGATACGTGCTCTGGAAGTCAGTCATGAGGTATCCACACAGCTGTTTAGCATAAGCCTGAAATCAGTGCAAGTTGTCTCATTACGTGAGTATTGAAGTCAAGAATATTAACGGAGACAAACATTGAAATAATATTTGTAATCTCCCCTGCTGGTTGTCGTCTTCTAAAAATATGAACCATTCCAGGTGTGTATGTTGGTGCCACCACGTATGCTGTCTGGTGGAACAGCTGGTAGGTCATATTTCTCATTCTGATAAGGAATTCATCTTCTGCCTTTTACTTACAGTGAGTTACGACGTAACTTCAGCAAGAGATATGTTGTTGCTGGCATCCTGTCAAGATGAACAGAAGAAATGGGTAACTCATTTAGTAAAGAAGATCCCTAAGAACCCGCCTTCTACTTTTGTTCGTGCTTCTCCTAGAACTATGTCTACAAGATCCTCAGCAAACCAGTCATTCCGAAAAGCTGTTAAAAATACTTCTGGAAAAACGAGGTGAGAAACTACGAAGGCTGTGAATCTTTTTAACTAAAAAACAGAGGTATCTGTTTGTAAAAATCTTATTTAAGAGGAAATTGTGAAATAATGCCATAGTGAAGACTGTAGAACAGATTGTCTAAAGCTGTGCTCAAATCCTGAAAGAGGAATAGACAGAATTCATCGTTTCTCCTTGCTCTCTTATTTCCTGTCTTCTACTGTTCCATGAGTTGTTAGTAAAGCTGTTTGTGACCGTATGCGTTAACCAGAGACAGGTTTAAATTGTGGGTTTTTTAATGCTAGGACATGGTAAATTCATTTTTTTTAACCCTCATCCTCACACAGTATAGCATGTTTCTTTCTCCAAGAATAAGTGAGTAGGTGGACAGTTTGAAGTGGAAATTAAGGAAAGAGTCATTCTGGATTGAAGGACATCAATTTGGAAGCACTGCCAAACATTCCTTGCATGAAGTGTGTTAAATGCAAACTTCTGTGCACAAGGGGGCATTAAGTATATTATGGAGCATGCACCTTCAGAGGCGAGTAGTATAAAAGAAAAGCTACAAAGAGTGGTGGTTTTCTTGTTCCTGAAATTAATACTAAAACACAGGTGATTATAGTTTGGGCTACAGGTATGCTCAGTGAAGATCCTTAAGATAATGTTAACCAGGAATATTACTTTAGGCCAGAAAACTGGAGAAAAGCAATGAAAATGTTTTCATTTAGTATCTTAGTTTTTCCTTTCTGAAATGTGTATCACTGTCTTGTGTCCTGTGCAGCTGCTCTAGAGCAGAACTTCAGCTCCTCCTTCTGCTGCCACCCACCCCTGCAGTTGCCATGAGAGACTTCCTACAAAGGGGCTCTTATGTGATCAACTGATGTGAAATTTTCAGCATAAACTCTATTTGAAATACCTGCTTGCAGGTTATGCTTCATTTCTGTCTGTAAGGGACATTTCTCAGCCTTTAATGTAAAGAATGATTGATGTCAGTAAAAGAAAAGTGCATTTTTACTATTTTCCTGGAACATAAAATAGGTTTCTCTTTAAAGGTTGAAATGGAATTGGAAAGAATTATTGTAATATGGCATTTATGTGCATCTTTAAGCAGTATTAATTGGGCTAATCTAAAACAACACTGAAATGATCCTGACTGTACGTTTTGGAAATCACTCTCTGTTATTTGAGTGTATTTGTTCTTCCCCTGTGCTGCCAAACCTTGCCCTTGTAAAGTTCCCTTTCTTTATTTCACATTCTCACAACTCAGAAATGAATACTCACACGGTATCCTGATCTTTTCAACGTCTTGGAGCGCAGGCTGCAATGTGAATCAAACAGATAACAGTTGTGTGACTCTCCAAGAGTTTGTCCTGAATCCCTCAGCAAACTTGTTGGTGTAATTGATGCTTGACCTCGGAATTTTGTTTTTTACTGATGTTTAACATGGAAATAGTTTCTCAGAACATGTAATTAATCTACAGCGAGCTCTGTTTTACTGCTACGTATTGTAGGCACCAAGTATGGAGGAAGAGGAATATTGAGCATAAGCAATTTAGAGAGGCTCAGCTGTTGGCCAGCAAGAGTGCTAGGTACGTGTGTGCTGCCAGCCTGGCTGTGCTGCGTGTGAGATGTATGCAGGAGGCAGGTGGGCACCCGCACAGCTCACTGGTGCTTGAGGAGCTGCTTGGGTGGCTTTGCGGCATGCTGCATTCCAGCACAGAAGGAGGCAGCTGATACTGGGTTAGCTGCAACAAAATGGGGCTTGTGTGGCATTTGCAGACAATGTGAGCAGATAAGGAAAAGATACCTACCACGTAAGTATTAGAAAAAGATGAGATAGGAACTTGTTCTGTGCCGTTTTGTTGTGGATGGTTTTCTAACCCTCAGGCAGATTTGATGCGACTGCTGCGATGTGTCGTGGCCACCCTGTGCCTGCATAGCACTGCACGTTATATTCTGTATGTTTAGGAAGGGAGAATTCCCTGCTTAAGGAAAGTCTGCTTCTGGTGCTCCTGACGTTCATGTAATTACATACACATATAGAAGGTGTTGCATACTGAGCACTAACCCGGGATTGGACAGTAGCTGAGCTAACCCAGCAGGCTGTTTCCGCTGATGCTGGTGATGGACGACTCCTCTAAGAGGAGAATTTTCCTTTTTCAGTCTTCCTTCCCTGTTCTCCTATCGTTGCTCCTGGGTAGGTGCTTGAAATGATCCTTTTTGGTCCTTTGAACAAAGATGCACAGTTCTGACTGTCAAAAAAGCCATAGGCTTGGTTCACTGAGCTGGTGAGTGGAATCAGCCCCCTGGGAGGAGCGGTGACTGCCTGAGCTGAGGGAAGGTGGGTAAGAGGGTGGGGCGCTCCTCCGGAGTCAGGAAGATGGAAGTGGGAAACTGGAGGTCCTTTCAGGTAGATCAAGACACTGCACCCTGCAGTTCTGACTCTGACCTCTTTACTTAGGGAGTGAGAGGAAGAGAGAAGGGAAGCAGTGATGATTTCTATGAGATCCATGTGTATCATAGCTTTTGCTAAATATGTGGAAATTGTTCTCTTGGCAGACGGTAACAGCGCAGTCTGGTCTCATTGATGGGTACAGACCTTAAGACATCCTTTAAAACGTTTTACGATATTTCATTTAGGTCTAATCTGGCTTTCCTTGTGGTTGATGGGCAGTGATGTCGTGGAGAATTGCACCAGACCCTTTAAAGGGAACTTGGAACATAAGTTATTTCTTAGTCTTATTTTTTAATAACTTAATCACTAAGAAATATGAATTATAACTTCATTATGAGCTTGCCGGCAATTGCAGTGCTGCTTCTAGATCTGAAACTACACTTCCTAGTTTACAGCAGGCTAATTTATACACATTGTATCAGTACAGGGGAGGTGTTTTATTGTAATGTACTTGGACTTGGGCACCCAGTGAAATTCACGCATGTTTCAAATGGACTTCCCATGCATCAGATGAGCTTTGGCAACTGCATGCGCGTGCTCTAGTCCTTTTCTAGTCCTGTAAGAGGACGAAGGTCACTTATGTTTGCCACAAATATGCTTGTGTGCTATGAACGATTTACTGGTAAAGCTGCAGTAACGTTATCATATCTGATGTCTGTGTTCACCTGATGTTGTCAGAAGTGAAGACCAGTTGGGAAGGTTGTGTAGGTATGTTTTTAATATCATACATGGCAATTGGAAAAAAAATTTCTTCTCGGAAGTTCTTAACAAACCTGCAAGAATGTTATGAAGCAAATTTTAAAGTATGTTTTATTAATTGTCTGTTCTTTTTCTTTGTTCCAGCTAACCACGTGTACAGTGCTTAATGGAACCTCATGGGATGCGGTCTGAAAAACAGCTTTTTAACCACACAAAGCAGTGCAGACGGGCTGTTGTTCCTTCCAACATAACTATCACAGGCTTCAGGGTTAAGATTGCTATTACTGTCTCCTCCTTGCTTTGGCACAAAAGCACACTGAGGGTGTTTAATTGCGGGTTTGCCTAAAGGTAGATTAGATTAATTATTACTGTGTAATGCAAGTTAAAGCAAATAAAGCTTAGCTAGGTGTATAAAAAAAGGTGCTGCCTTTTTTGGATATAAAAAGAAAAAAAAGCCTGTAAATCACGATGAAATGCAGCCAACTTTCTTCATATCAGTGAAAGAAGAGGACTGTTTACCCTCGGAAAGGGATATTTATGTCAAGATGAGCATATGAAACTGAGTAGAGGAGGAAGGTTTCTCAATGAGAAGGACTGCAATTGCTTTCAGGACTCAACAGTTGTGCTCTTGAAGACTGCAGAACTAGCTTACAAATGAAGCCTTATCACTTGAACTTCAGTGCCTTCACTGCAGAGTTCTAAACAGCCTTAATGCTAATCACCCACTTTGGAACGGATCCAAGTGTTAAATATCTTACCTTATGCTTTTCAGAATACTGATTCAGCAGGTTTGTAAAGGGGGAGAAAGCCAAGTAATTGCCTTTAATCTATGCATTTTTGCCAAGCCATACTGAATTATTTTACTATTAGAGGCATTAGAAACTAACAGGAAAAAGAACCGAGTTTGGAAGCATATTTTGGGGTACATCATTTCTGTAACTGAATACTGTACTGCTTTACAAATTCAAGAGATAACATACATTAAGTTAACAAACATGTATGCACTGTTTGAAATGTAAATTATTCTTAGAACACTTTTACTGGGTTTTACGTTGTCGTTTTAGTGCCTTGATTTGAGTTAATTGTATGATTGCCATGTCAATAAATGTAGAAATATAAAAAATAACAAAGGAAACCTCTAAACAAACCTATTGTGTTATCAGTGGTTTTTACTGAACTTGGATTGGTTGAAGTATTGTAGATGCTAGATGCATTTTCTAAATTAAAGACCATCTTTGAATGGGAATTCCTCTTACAAAGAAAGACTGGTTCTAGTTTATAAGGCAAGAAATGTGCAGGCAATGGGGAAAAAAAATAAAGAGCATATAACATAAAAGCTTCAGGTAATTCAGGAATGTCAGTAAATGCTGTCAGCCTCTTGCTTTGTAGCAGGAATGCATTCATGGTTATATGGGCAGTATGGTTTTATTTTATATTATTTCTTAACCGAATACCTCCTCAGTAATTTATAATGGCTTTGCAGTTGTGTATTAAATAAGAAGCACTGGAAAACTGATTCGTCCTTAGGACGATTTGCATGTTTCAAGTGGTATTGAAAGCCGCACTGATGGATATGTAATAATAAACATATCTGTTATTAATATGGTAATGACTCTGTGCTCATTTAATGAGAAATAAAGTAATTTATGGAAGGACTCTTCTGAAAACGACTGGCATGGTGTTTTCTCCTGACTGCAGCTTATACGTGGTTCTGAGCGTTCAAGACCCTGCGATGAGCTCTAGCACAAAGTACATTTGCATCACAGTGCCTAGGAGACTGGGGAACATTTGGTTTCTGTTTGATGTGAAACAGTAAAGACCGTTCCAAATTTTTTGTTTCCTTATTCTCCTGGCCTGCAGTAGCCTATATTTATGATTCCAGCATGCCTTGTGCTTGTAAAGGTTCTGGTGTAAAGATGCTTCATCCTTTCTGGTGCAGAAATCCCACTCATTTGAGGGGAAGGAACCCAGCGTAAGGAACCATGTTCAGAAGGAAAAAAACAACCAAACAGCACGTGCGTTCCATGAAGCTCTCTGGGAATCTCCCTGGGTTTCACTGAGGTCTGCAGAAGAGTGGGCTGGTAGGGACAGCGTGCAACTGTATGCCCTTGAAAGGTCTCAGTGATGGGAAATGCAGATCAGCAGAAGTAGATGACATAATTTCAGAAAGTTCCCCTATATGGAGCTTGCTGTATTGGTAATATCAGCAATTTCCAGAGCTGCCAGTGAGGCACGCTAAAGATGAACTTCCAGATCTTGATTTGCTTGCAGCATTGTTGGATTGCAAAGCAATACATGAGACCGCTCTGACCTGCTTTAAACTCCTGTTGTGTACTGAGAATGAAAAAAAAAGTAAGGGTGATCATGTGCATCTTACACTATGTATTCCTATACCTGTACAGAGAAATATCTAGAGCAATAGAGAAGGCCTTGTAGCCAGGTCATTCAGCAGCCTAGGTTTGTTTTTATATTGCTTTTCCACCTTCTGTAACTTGCTACCTCTTTTTTGAATGATTTCTTAACCTTCCTTAAAAGATGTTGTCCCATCTTGTAATTCCATGTTTTATGAGTATGAAAAGGATTACGTAAAAGCTGCTGTGAATAAATACTGACCAGAGGAAGGAGGGAGGGGTTGTAGAAAAAATGGGCTTATTCTACAGGTCCCTAAAAAGCTCTGCAGGTGATGGTATGTGCCAAGGTTGAATTCCACAGTTCTTTCTAAATGCTTATTTTGCTTGGGAAAGAAGAAGCCAGACGTAATGAAGTGTAAAATGAAGTTGACTTGTCTGTCTAGGATAGGTTGCAACTAAAGTACTGTAATAAAGAAGTCTAGACATGCAAATCACAGTTTGTGTGCTCCGCTATACCACTGTTAGCACTCCTTACCCTCAGCAAGGGGCCCATCTGCAGGAATATTTTGCATAACAAATTCCACCACAGGTTTACAGGTTTCTGGTGTTAGGAAAAGCAATGCTTGTAATCTCAACTGTGTGAGGATATATTTTTGGAGAAAAAAAAATTTACTACTTGAATATCAATGTTGCTCTCCAGAAGAAAAAAAAGCAATTCCCTGCAACTTTCAATACAGCTGGGTTTTTTGTTTGTTTGTTTGTTTTTGTCTCTTGCCACCTTTTATTTTTCTTTCATCTGTGCCACTGCTGATTCCTCTCTCACAGAAGTGCTTTGCCCACTCTCATTGAATTCAGTGCCAGAGTCATCAATAGAATGAGCAAGCCAAGAAGAGCTGGCATAAGTCAATGCGGCTCTGTTCATGCAGGTGAAGGTATGTAGGTTTACACAGTGTGAGAAAATTAGATGTCCAGATTATTCTGTGATTGTGTTTTTATTCACTCACACTATTTTTTTTAAATTTTCCATTATTGTATTACCTTGAATGCTCATTAATGTTGATCCAAAGCCAAAAATGTGTTATCTCAGTCCTCTTTCAAGCCTCCTTTTTCCTGCTGAAGTAACCAGGAAAATAAAGTTAAGAGTTAGGCAAAACAAACAAACAAAAAAAAAGAGCCTGAGCAATAAGAAATGTGCGCAGCCTCTCCCACAGGTGGGCTTCAGCAGCAGCTGCCGAGGCTACAGAGCAGGGAGGAAAGGGCTTCTCCATGAGGCACTGAATGGCAGTGGTGCGTTTTCATGTGTGGTACAAACAAATGCAAGTAGGCAAGGAGAAGGGCTTTTTTGACTAAAAATGAAAATTAGTGTTTGCGAACATATTGACTGTAAAAGGCAAGCAATGGCACTGAGATGAGAGATACTATGTACGCGACTTTGAACACTTCCCAGATGGCCACTCTTCAGCCTGCCTTCACTCTTTACAGCTCACTCTGTTAGAAGTCGCACTGCTACCAGTGCATCTTTGTCATTGCTGTGACACAGGAGGCAAACAGAACAGGGGATTTCGTGATGGGAGTGCCATGCCCCAAGCCCCCAGCAGCCCCAGGAGATGCCACTGCACATGGCAGCTACGGCAATCCCTTCTGGGCCTTGCTCAGCCCTGTGCTGGAAGCATCCTGCATGCTGGAGGTGTATTTTGGATACTTTGTTTTCTGGGCGCTCATCTAGAGCACCCAAACCCCTATGGTTTTGCAGCACAGGAAAGTGGAGTGCTGTAACATAGTCAAGGTAATCTGTACTTGCATTGCTATTCACACATCACATTGAACTCTACTGCTATACTCCTTATGCCAGTTTGTGTAAGATTCAAAGAGACCAGCAGCATCTCTCAGCTGATCCTCGCCTTAAGGAAAGAAGCACAAAGCTGTCATGAGAAGCCGAAGGGACAGTGGAGGAAAGAAAAGGAAAAAGGAGATAGCAGCTGTCATGGTGGTGAGGTTTTCCTGCAGATACAAACCCTGTTTCTTCTCTTTCAGCACAGCACCCTCTAGCGCCATTCCCAAACTCTGTAAGCGATTTACATCTGCTTGGGATGAGACCCGGTACGCCAAAGGTTACACTACGTGGGAGGATGCCTTCATTCAGTTCAGCTTGACTGCAGACCATTCAACATTCATTTAGAAGGCATGAATAAATGGTCTCTATACAGGTCTCCGTTAGTATTAAGAATGAATGGCTGGATTGGAAATAACTCGTAGTTACATGTGAGCAGGCAGCTGGGATCTGCTCTGACTTGAACAGGTGGTCCCAGAATCACAGAACGGTAGGGGTTGAAAGAGACATCTGGGGACCATCAGGTCTAAGCCCTGCAAACGCCGGGTCTGCAAGATCTCACCAGAGAACTGGGCCAACGCTTCCCTAGGAGGCAAGCTCGTCTCTTCTGAGCAGCCCCAGCCTGCAGAAGATTCAGCACTCTTGCTGAATCCAAAGCCTTGCTTTCAAGCCCTGGGTAATTTCTATGGCCAATTTGTGACCGTGTCAACTGCTTGGAAGTGAGAACTGTATTTAGAGAGCAGGGTGTTCACAAAGGAATGACAGTCACCCAAAATTTGGGAACAAACTCATTAACTGCAGTGTGGTGTCAGTGAGTAGGCATTCTTTATTATGACATCGGATGCGTGAGGGGCTATTTCCACCCTAATCACACACCTTGAACAAAAGACCTTCAGCTTATGTACATTACTTGTGTTATGTATGAGAAGGTTTCCTGGTCAGTACATACATATTCAATATTGCCCCAAAGTCATTCAGTAACAGAGGGCCCCACATCCTTGCATGTGCTCAGTGATCTTGAGGGGGGTCTCGTGTCCCTGTGGGGTGAAGTAAGCGGCCTTCCTCTTCATGACTGCAAATCGCCCTCCTGTAGCTTTCCAGGTGGCAGTTTGAGAACATTGTACAGGAGAGGGCCCTGCACTGACTGAGATTAGTGATCTATGGGGTCATGGAGTACAAAGATGATGTTTTGCTCATCATCAGCCCGGTGCGTTTTGCATTGTATTTGTGAACGCAAACACCATTCAGTTAAGCATGTTTAACATCAGACCAAGTGTATTTTGCTTTGTATTAGCTACTTTAGTGATAGCACGACCAGAAAGGTCATGGAACAGTGGAACAGCGTTGGGGTTTCCAGAAGCACCATCCTGGAGAGATGTGAGGAAACCAGCAGGACAGTATGGAGACGTTTCATTGTGACATTCTCCTCCTTTCTACATGTTTAAGCACTGATTGCTGTATTGGCCGCAGAGCTACACTACAGGCGCGCTACGTGCGCGCTCCCGCCCGCCGGTGAGGCAGCAGCACCACGCGCGTTCCCGCTCTCTCTCTCCCGCCCGTCCCTGCCCTTCCGGCGCTGCGCGCGCACCCCGCCCCGCTTCCGGCAGCGGCCGCGTTGCAGCGTCATCCTGAGGGGCCGGTTTGAATGAGAGCCCGAGGGAGGGGGCCGCGCCCGAGCTGCCGCCGCCGCCCGCCCCTCCCGTCTGCCTGCCGCTTCCCTCCGGTAACGCCGCTCCCGCCGCCGCTCCTCGCCCTCCGCCATGCCGCTCTTCTCAGGTGAGGCGGGCCGGGCGGTGCCCGCTGAGGGGCGGCGGACGGGGTGCTGCGGGGGGCTGGGAGCTGCGGGAGGGCGGAAGCAAGCAAGCTCGCTCTGCGCTCCTCTCCGAACCGCCGGGTACCGCGATGGAGCGGTCCGCCCGGCTGATGGCAGCGGTGGGCGGCCGTCCTGAGGCACGTGGGGAAGGCCCGTGCCTGGTGGGGCTCCCGGGCGTCGCGTAACGCGCGTCGTTCAGCTGGGCTCCTTGTGAGGTTCTCCCAGATCGGCGTGTTATGCGATCCTGCGCTCCGTTCGTTCGTCCTTGTTGCCGTCACACGCGTTGCTAATATCTGCAGTCTTACCCTTTCGGGAAGATTTAAAGTTGTGGTTTCTCGAGTTCTGTGGTGAAACAAATCCAGAAATGACGGAGTAGATTTATTTCAAGCAAAAGTACAGGTGGGACGTAAGGAGAGGGCTGCCTCCACTCAGGGTCTGCTGACTGCTTAGCACGCACGTGGGTTGTTGTTACATGCTATGTTTTGCAGGCTTTCAGCTCAACTTCAGCCTTTATGCACATGTGAGATCAACTGATGTGAAGCCATCAAACAAGTGTTCCCTAAAAACACACTTGTGTGTCTCCCTGCTCTGTGCGAGTTAGCCTTGCAGGATGCAGGTAGCATGCCCCTGTGTCTGTGTGCTGGACGTTTCACTGGTGACACAGGCTATACT